TTCCTCTAACATCTGAAGTAAGCACCTCTGATTAATAAGCCTTCTTGAATTCAAAGAGGGACTACTTCTGTCTTTTCATTTATCTTGCATGTCCTCTCTTTTCTGAGGCAGCTGGGCAGGATTATGTTCTTAACCTGGCCCCTCCCCCTCCTTCAGAGATAGCCAAGAGGGAGGGCAGAAACCTTAACTCCCAGCAGCTTGTGACGCAGAGTGAGCAAGGCAAGACCTCACTAAACGTGGAATTATTTTAAAATTTGTATTCTGACTTAAATTTGGATTTACAGCTGCATTGTCCGGAAAGAAAAGGTGATCTGGATCAGAGGATAGTTTTTATAAGTTGTAAGCTACTGTAAATTTGTTAAGGAAATCATTATATTTAAATTTGCTCTCGAGTGGTAGGAGGTACAAGAGACCCACTCTTGTCCTGTGACCTTTTTTTTCAAACCATGGCTTAGTAGTCCCTCTTTCAGATTTATGCTACTATCGTTTTTCTTTATTTGTTGGGGTCCTCAAATCCCCAGGCCTCATACGGGGAGAAAACTACAGGTTTCCTTCACCTTACCCACCTTTATCTTTTCCACAGTAAGAGCACATCAACCTTTGAAGTATTTAAAGAGAATTTCCTATGAAGCACTACAGTCCATCCTGTCTTCCTCCATTATTCCATCCTCACAGGTAGAAAAAGATCAGAATTCACATTTTATAACATTCTTCCCAGAACATGTACTTACTCTCCTAAGGTCCTTTCTGCTTAAACTTCTTTTTTGAGTTGGGCTTTCCCATTCATTCATTTCTAGTTCTATGGCCATAGAATCAGCTGGCCAGAGATGCCCAAAATAAATATATAGAATCTGCTTTCCTAGTTCTTAGTGTACTAAATAGGATAGGTGGAGGCTTGAGCACCTCCTCTTTACCTAGGCTGCACATCTGCCTCCTCTCTTGTTTCTTGCCTCTCTTCTCTGATACTTTGCTTTTTCTGACTGCCTCCCAGCTTTCTTTGATTCTGCCCTAGAGCCCTCCCTTCTGTGGCCTCTTGAGCCTCCTCCAGTGCTGACCTCCACCCTGGCACCCTGGTCTCCTGACCAGACTTTGCTACCTTCTGCTCTTGTTCGGCACCTCCTGGCCCCCCCGCTGCCACCCCTTGCGACCTCCTCCTCCCCCCCCCCCCCCCCCCCCCCCCCCCCCCCCCCTCCTGCCGTTTCCCCCCCCCCCCCCCCCCGTATCTTCCCAGAGCTTGCACTGTCGCTCACGCCCTTCTTGCTGCTCATGTTCATTCTCTTCTTTCCCCTGACTTGTCACTGCTGTCTACAGACATGCCTTAACTTTGATTTGACGCTTCCCTCCCTTCAAACTACTTCTCTATCTTCTACCAACCCTTTCACTGTCAAACTCCAAGGAAAGGGTATCTTCATTTTCTGCCTCTGCTTCCTCACTCCCCACTTCTCAGTGAAGTTTGAGCAGTCTGGCTTCCAACCTCAACACTACACTGAAACTGCCCTTTCAAAGATTACCAGTGCCAGTTTAACTTAAATCAGGTGTCCTTTTTCAGTCCTCGTCCTTCTTGGCCTCTCTGCGGCTATTGCTCTTTGCAAAAAAAAAAATAATAATGATAATAATAATAATAATGTAGTTCTAAAATTGACCTATCTTTTATCTGAGGGGTAGTGTGGTATAGTGGATAGGGCACTGGATTCAGGTGCCCTAAATGAAAGGTCTTGAAGAAGAATATTTTGAGAAGCCTTTGCATTTGGGTGTGTACTCCACTCTTTTCTTACTCCTGTTCTTGATAGGCTCTGTCCTCTTGTGCAATATTAATTTTAACTAGCATGCTTTCCTGTCCTTTCTTGTTCCCCAGCTTGAGCACCTTTCTATATTCCTCTATATTCGTCCACTGTCAGCCCCTTTCTTTCTTGGACCTTGAAGCTAGTCTTATTTACAGGCCTCAACTCACTGTGGTTATGAGATTCTCCCAGGACAGTGCCATGGAGTTAACTTGAGAAGCTGCGTGCCTAAAATACAGCAGCCACAAGGGTTGCGGGTGGAGTGGTGGTACCGGAATAGCTGCCCCTTGGAAACCTCTGTGCCTTCTTCCTATGTTTTCTTCACTTGTAGATTTGATATATATACCATCTGTACTTTTATCCCAACCATTTATAAAAAAAAAATGTTAAATAGCATGGGGCCAATAACAGATCCCTGGATACTCTTCTATAGATCTTCTATAGACCTTCTAGGCTTCTAGATGTGATTTTTCTTTTGTTCCAGCCATTCAACCAGTTCTGAAATCTGTCAGAGGTTCTTAGCCTTTTTTGTATCGTGAGCCCTCTGACAGTTTGGTGAAACCTACAGACCTTTTCAAAATGATATTTTTAAATGCGTAAAATAAAATACAAAGGATTACAAGGAAATCAATTACATTGAAATATACTTACCAAAATATTTAAAAAACAAGTTCTTGGACTCCAGATTAAGAACCCCTAGTGTAAGTGTACTATTATTTAGCTCGTTTTCCTTCCATCTTGCCTACAAGAAAGCATGAGAGACATCCAAGGTCTCACCTCAGAGATCATTCTTCTTGATATTGAGACAGAAATATCTCCATTCCCTCTAAAGTATCCAGAGTTGAAATCTTAGAGGCAGGAGTTTTCTTGCTATAACAAGTCCCAGAGAAGTTTCACCCAAAGCTAGTCAGACAAAGAAAACAAGTTTGTAAGAAATTATTATCAAGTAAAAAGGCCTTCCATACAGGGATTTGTACACCTTCATTATTAATGTGCCTGAGCCCTGAAAGGTAAATCAGTCAGAAAAAAAGATTGTCCGTAAGGCAGGCTGAAGCCACACCTGTACTTTCATCTGGCCCTGTAAGGTGAGTACTTCCGCTTTAGCCATTTCATTTCTTTTAAAATGATGATGAAGTTCTTAGAAGAAGAATGTAACCTTTGCCACATTGAGTTAGACCGTTCCAAATAGCCAAATATTTTGCTTCTAACAAAGGCATCATAGGCCATGTTATAAAAGATCATGATCATCTCGTGTGACATCACCTCATTTCTCAAGGGTGTGTCCTTAAAATCCAATTTCATTACTTCAGGGATTTCTGATTTTGTTGATGAGAATACTGTTTCATGGGCACATGTCAAACAGATAGCCCCTGATTTCCCTCTCCCCCTTCTTCATGCCTTAGGAGAAACTCTTTTGTGTTGCTGTGACAAAAAAAAAAAAAAAAAATTCCTCATCCCACTGGTAACTTTGTGATGAACCTGTCCAAATTTAGGTTTATATAGTCCATCACTGAGACCGTTCTTAAAGCATTTCCAGCTTTCTGAGAACTTCTGAAACCTTCAAAAATCCATGGTCACTTTTTGTCATGAAGAGGCAGCTCAGCATTTCTTTTAATTAAAGTATCCTCTTAAATAGTCCTTTGCATTGAAGATGTTTCAACATAAAATTTTTAAATCCTTGATTTAAACATTGTCAATTACAGTCATTGTATAAAGGAAGGTATGCCTGGAGATACTATAGCTGGAAAAAAAACTGCAAAATATCTTTTTGTGAAGTTAGTTCCTGCAGTTATATTTTAATTTCAGTTGTGTTATCTTTACTTCGAGTGAAGTTTTCATTGGTAATGACTCCTAACATTTGCTCTTCGAGTCTTTTGAGCCTCTGTCCAGTACTTAATGATCTACAGTTATATGTATTTGGGAAGTGTGAAAAGAACCTTGCAGCTAGATTCCTTTATAAAGAGAATTGTTTCCTAAGTCATCTCTTCTATATTTTAGATTTTCCCAAAGTGGGGCCTGGAGCTTGAGTTATATATAACCCTGTCTGTTTCTGTACTTGTTATCACTCTTGAAACCCTGAGTTTAGCCATCATTTTAATACTTCACCCTCACACAATCTCTAGAGAACTCCTCACAGGGAGTAAGATGGAATGGGTTCAATAACAAGTCATACTTTTACCTGTCTCCCTTTCGGTTTAAGGTGCTAACAATTGGTGAAATGGTCTTTGTTAGTTAACTCTGCTTTCTCCGGGTTTCCTCTTATCTGACTGTTCTTTCTCATTCTACTTTGCCAGATAACCTTCTGTCTCTTGCTAACTAAGCATGGATATACTCCAAGGCTAAGTCTTACTGATGAATTGATTGGTCTTTAAAGCCTACTCATGGTGTAGCTTCCAGGCACCTTTTGTATTTTCTTTACATGATTTGTTTTTGCTGAACTGGTATACTTACCTTTCCCCAATCTCCAACATTTTGCCTTTGCACAGGCCTAATCAAAAACATGAATCATATACTCCCCTCATCTCTAATTCTTAGAATCTTTAACTTTCCCAAGGTATAGCTTAGGGACTACCTCCTACGAAAAGGAAGGCTTTCTTAAAGATTCCTCAAATTTTAATATTCTCTCCCTTCTCAATTAATTTGTATACATGTTTTATCCTCTCCCTCTAGTAGAATGTAAGTTTCTTGAGGACAGGGAATATTTTTCATTTTTTTTCTTGGTATTCTCCATCCCCATCCCCTCACTATGTGCCTTGCATATAGTATATACTTAAATGGTTATAGAGTCGAATTGTATATTGAATTATTTTAAAGTGTAGTGTTGATTTTGTTTTTTGGCTTAATAGATTTTTAAAATATGCTTTCAAAAATTTTATCCTTTAATGGGCCTACATTAAATTGCAAAACCACATTGTAACAAATGCTTCTTAAGCTCCTACTATGTACAGATCATTGTGCTACTTATTGGGTTTATGTGAACTCTTTGACATGTTATATCAGAAATTTATTATTTATTATTTCACTTTATTTGTGATTTATTGTTTAAGTGCATGTTGAAATTCATCTGGAACAAAAATTTTTAATTTTGTAGCATTTTTATATCTAGTCATTATTTTGATCTTTTAAGACGTGAGTCAGAAGCTTTTATATGATATAACTTATTGGCAATAAAATAGGAAACTTTCCAGATTAATTCTTTTTTTTTTCTTTTTTATGTAGCTTGCCCAGTTTCGGCAAAAGAAAGCTCAGTCTGATGGACAGAATCCTTCCAAGAAGCAGAAAAGGAAGAAAAAATCATCAGCCAGAAAATATGAAGATTCTTCATATACTTCCAATATTGATCAGTCACAAGGTGATGAGTTGTACATGACTGGCTCTCAGAGAGGAGCATCAGTGACTCCTGAATTCAGTATAATGAGAACTTTACACACTGGAGAAATAATCAAACATGACCAGTCCTACACTATTGAAGTAAGTATCCAGATTGAAAAAGATTTCTGAGTGAAACTTTGTAATAACAATAACATCCCTTATTCGATTTGGTACTATTTAATGTATTCTTTATTTCTTTAGTTTCATAACTAATTGGTCATACACAAAAATATGAGGGACCCTATTTGTAAAATACAGACACACATTAGATTGTTTTTTTCTTTTCAATTGTTATCAATGTTTTTTGTTTTTACATAACATTCATTTTTCAGATAACCAATAGAATCTAAATACACAAATTTTTTTTGTTGAAAATAACTACAGAACAAATAATGGTAGAAAATAAAAGTTTTAAAAAAGCAGTTCAAGATCATAAATACAATAGAAAACCAGTAAAGTTGTTTGCATCTCTAAAGTTGCTTGCACATTTTTTGTATTTCACAATAGCAGATGAGGTCAGAAATAATTATTTTGATATAATAAAGTGTCTTATATACCATTTTATTTGTTTTTTTTTTCTTTTTTTTTAAATGAGGCAGTCAGGGTTAAGTGACTTGCCCAGAGTCACACAGCTAGTAAGTGTTAAGTGTCTGAGGTTGGATTTGAACTCAGGTCCTCCTGATTCCAAGGCCAGAGCTCTATTCACTGCTCCACCCAGCTGCCCCTTATATACCTTTTAAAGGAATAATAGTGTTTCTTTTGCTTGGGGGAAAAAAAAAAGGAATGTGATTTTATGAGGTAGTACATGGGGAGGGGAGTTTTTGAGAGACAGAAGAAGATTCAGACAACTCAGGTTCAAATTCTAGCTACTTGAGTTAGGGTAAGTCACTTAACTTGTCTGAGCTTCCATTTTCTTAGCTTTAAAATTAAGAGGTTAACTTTCATAATCTCTAAGGTCACCTTCACCTCTAAATTCTTGCTTCTTTTATCCTATTTGAATATTTATGTTTCTTACATAAGCAATACCTAATGTACTTTTTAAAAAATTTTGCTTTTTATTACAAAGTCATCAACAAACATTTTAATATGCAAATGAGAACAAAAAAAGATGATTGATACAAAACCTTGAACTCCTGTTATATGCATTTTGTTTTTTAAAGGTATATATTAAGTTCATATATAAAAATGGTAACAAAAGCATTCTGTGACTCTTTCTGAACTGTTTTTTGTTTTTTTCTGTGTTAATGTACTTCTCATTTGACTACCTTTGGGAAATGACTCTGGTCCTCATTGAAAAAGTCATCATAAAATAAAGGGCACAATTCCAACTGGTTCCCTTTTTATCTGCTTATTCAAAGACAGTTTAGGCTAGTGGCTACTTTGAATGGAAAGGAAGACACTTAAATAGTTTTATACAGGGTTGGCACCATATTTTCCCATCTGGTTGTAGCATGAGGCTTGTTGTCAAGGTCATGTCTTATTACAGTTATCTCAACTACAGACAAATAGTATTTAAACTTGACATCTTTTTCAAATTAGTCTGAGAGCTATAAATTTATGTCATTTGTCTATATTAGATCCATTGGAGAAATTTAATTTCTCAAGTTAGCATTTTATTAATTTGATAAACTTATTTCTTTTTAGATTTAAGTAGCAATTCAACTAATTTTGCTGTAATTTTAATTGTTAACCTTAATAAGGTTTAAAAACAAAGTTTAGTAGCTAATTAATTATTTACAGTTATCATTTTCATTAACCGGAATGACTTATCTACTTTCACCCATTGTCATACCTTGAATGTGTTTGTAGGTGTAGCTATAAAAACTCGCACGTAAAAAGAATTTTCCTTGCCCTGCTTTTCAACTCCCAGAGCAAATGCTCTCAAACTTTGGGTTGTCTGCAGTGATTTTTTTTTTTTACAGTGCTCTAGGCCAAAAGAAATTCTCAGTACTTTTGTATATTAAGTGCTTAGTTCCAAACAAATTAGTAAGTATTCATATCCTAACAACTTAGGAGCTGTTTGAAAAAATAGTACACATAAATTGAAAGAAAAAAATAATATTTTATTTTTTTCTTAAATTACCTTAGTTACTTAACAATGGGATGTGTGTGGCAGTTAGGCACAATCTCTCAAACATTGGAATTAGATTTAACACCGCCACCCTCATTTCCTGTAGTGTTTGTTTCCATGTTTGCCTCAGAATTTTAAAATTTCACTAGGCTTCTTTGTTGCTGTGGTGTTGGCAAAATTTGAGAACCAGGGATCTAGGGTGTTATCTGTGCAGGTGAGATGGAATATTAACACTGACTTCTTCCAGGATGTGCAGTGTGAAAAGAGTTAATATTTTCCCCCTACTTCAGTGTAACTATTCTTCCTAAAATAAACACTTAAGACTTTACCTTTGTTACAGTATTCCCCTTTCCAGCCTAAAATTCCCCAGGTTATCGTCCTAATAGTGACTATGCCTCTTCTCTGAATTTTACATACCGGGTTAATGGTAAATGCAATAGAAATATGTAGTAAATTTACAACTGTTTGTTCTAGGGGAAGAGGTAAATTGCCTCATATTTTGAAGTTCGAGAGTAGTTTATGAACAACCCTGACACATTTTTAGTGTACAGAGTGCTTTGTGTTTAATTAATATTTCAATTATACTTTTACTTTGATAAATTGAAGGATCCATAATTTCATTGGTGCACACATAACCTTCAAGAATACTTCTTTTAATCCTTTGGGAGTTTAAAAGTGCATTACTGCATAGCCAGCCTTCTCCACAAAAGCCTGTCTATACTTAACTAGCCCATTCTGCAGATGACATTCCTAGGTGTACTTACCATCGTGGTAGAACCAATGAAAGGTTGTTCTCTGTGGACAAAACTTTCAAAAACCCTATGTTATTTCTGTGCCAGAATGAGGCATTTTTGTACTCCAGTGAAGGCAGGTATACCATTTAGCCCATGGAAATATTCCAGGCATATATATGCTTATTATTTGAATAGTTACATTACAGCTTTGTGCTGCACATGGCATACTACCCAAAGCATTTTAATAGTTTATGTTTGAAGGCAGCTTAAAACATCATCTTATACCTGAAAAGTAGCTTAGGGATCATTTAGTCATAGGTTCATTATCATAGTTCATTTACATTGTACGTCAACCCACCCAGCCAATCCTGCAGACATATAGTCACTGTTTCAATGCTTTGAGCTGCCATCATACATGTAGAACAAGAAAGGATCTAGTCCAATGCTTTTATTGTATGGATGAGAAAAATAAGACCCATAGACATGCTGTGACTTGTGGTGGTCAGTGCTGGCGTCTTTCAGCTCCTCAGATTATACTAGAGAGCCTTGAAAGAATTCCATGAGCTGACACTCTCTCTCTCACTCTCTCTCTCTCATAATTGTAGCTATGGTCCCCAAATAATTCAATCAAAGAAAATGTTGATTTCTTTTGTTAACACTTTGTGGTTTGAACCCCAGTTAATGGCAATTTTAGACAACTTCCCTGTTTGTTTGCTCTTAATTTTTAAAATTTACTATAGATTCATTAGGGAAGTATGATAGATTATCAAAGAAGTTTTGTGGTTGTATCATTTCTTTGGAAATCTACTTAGCATAGATGCAACTTGAATACAGTTAGATTTTCTAACTTTTGTACACTAAACCTAATCTAGAAATACAAAAACCAATAGTGACTTATGAGTTAAAATTGTCAGAAACATATAGAGACTGTAAAATCTTGATTTTGCAGAATAATTAAGGGGTAAAGGCCAAAGGATTTTTTAAAAAAGGAAATTGGCAGTTTTCCTTTAAAATTATTTAAAATGTTTTATTTATATTGGAAAATGTTGATGAAAAGTAAATTAATTAGGAGATAGAAGAACTCAGTTACAAATTCAAATTCTGTTAAATCTGTTCTTAGACCTTTTTGTTTCTTAAAACTAAACCTTAAAAGAATATAGGGAAAACCTGTTTTATCTGTCTAAAACAAATAGAAATTTCAATTAAGATCGGATTTTTGTTGTGCAATCAACAAGCATTTATTAAATGCCTGCTATTTGCCAGGCTCTGTGCTAGGTACTTGAGATACAAAGACGAAAATGAAATAGTCACTGCCATCAGGGAACCTTACATTCTGTTAGGGGAGACATATACACTTACAAGTATATACAACACAAAACCTGATAATTTGAAGGTGGGAGCTCTGTAAAGAAAGGCCTCATTTAGGAGGTGGCATTTGAGCTATACTTTGAAGGAAACCAGGGATTCTCAGAGGCCTGAGAGACAGCCTCTCCACAGGTGTAGAGACTGGAGGTGGGGTAGCAAGAATGCCAGTTTGCTTGGGCTGAGCTGGGCAAAAACCAGTGATGCTTAATGAGACTCAGAAGTTGGATGGGGGCAGGGCTAAAAAGGGCTTGCATGACAAAGAGCTCAGTTTGCATTTGAGAGCAGAGCTATGAGGGAGCCATGGTGAGCCCTGGCCTTTAGGACATCACTTTGGCAGCTGTGTGGAAGATGGATCGGAGAGGGGAGCAGCTTGAAGCAGGGAGACCAGTTAGGAGGCTCTTGTACTAGAAGGAGTTTGGTAATTTTTTTGAGTTTCTTTTTGGAGTCAAAGCTAGAATAGGGAATATTCTGGCACACTGGATTTCATCAATGTAAGAAACAAACTTTCTCCAGATTTCTGACTTAGTAGGTAAACCATAGGGAATAATTATCTGAGGTATGTAGAAGTTAGTAATGGCTCAGAAGCGGCATTTGAACCTAGGTCTTTCTGACTCCAAGCTCAGCACTGGATATCTCACTACTACCTCTTGACACTAGGCTAGGCTGCCTGCCTCTAACGTTCTTGATATTTGATATCTCTATATATATGTATGTATATATAATTATACATACACACATATACTTGCATGTATATAAACACCATGTATAGTATATATCATTATTATGACAATAATAATGTCCCAGAGTTTGATACTTTGTACTCAAAAGTCACCTGTCAGTCTTTTGATAAAACAAACTCTTTTCCCCAGCCTAGCCAATTATTCCAAACTTATCTCAAGAAAACTGCTAAAAATCTTTAAACTTTATGAAGCAAATTATACAGGTATGATCAGGGAAAACCAAGAAATGGGAAACCTGTGGGGGTTTTTGTACATTTTGCTACAATATGAATTAGAGATATGGAGGAGTAAAAGGAACATGCAGCTGAAAAATTTTAATGTGTACTTGACAGCTCTTTTATCAGGTGGCAAATGGATCCCCAGATATGACAGTCTAGGAACAGTATTTTTATTAGACTGTAGGCAGATGTCGTATGACCATTCCATTTGCCTATGTGAATGTGAGCACACTCCAAAGCCAGCGTTGTTTAGGAGTTCTCTGAGAAATACGTATAAGGTAAGGCTATAAAATAATGATACTGGGAGGGGGACAGTTGATTTTTAAAAATTGTACCACAGCTTCTATATCCAAATGAGAACTACCCTTCAGAGTAGTCACTTTGGGAGGTTATAAACTTACTCAAATTTTGCTTCCCTTGTTTAAAAGGAAAAATTAAAAACATGTCTTTTGGGAAGACCTTGCATACAGGGTGGTAGGAATAAGACATTAGGGATAGATGTGAATAGTGAGTATTGGCACAACTTTGGTGGATAGGAAGGAGATTCAGCATAGTAGAATATAAAGAGTACTAGGTTGGGAATTAGGAGACCTGGCTTCTGCTACTTGGCCTCAGTTTTTTCTCATCCATCAAATGAAGGGGTTAGATTAGATTATTCCCAAAGTTGCTTTGTTTCTAAGTATCTGTGATTTTGTGATACTTTGAATTAATTGTATTCAGAGAATATATGACACATTTTAAAAATCAGTCTTAATGTTTCTAGTCAACTTGTTTTAGAGCTATCCACTTTTATCACTCCCCTTATTCAACAGACGTGGCTCAGGATGCCTTTTGGCAGTTTCTAAAAATCCAAACTAAAAATAACAATATCTCACACTTTGCATAGTGCTTTATAATTTACAAAGTGCCATCCTCACAATCTTGTGGTTGGTAGTAGAAGGATTATTATCTTTATTTTACAGGTGAGGAAACTGAGCTTCTGAGACCCAGAGCCTGACCCTTGAACCCTAGGTATTCTGATTCCAATATCAGTGATTTTTCTAATAGACTTTCCTTTGTCAAAGGACTGAATACCTGCTACCAGTGACGTGTACCACAAGCTTTGATGTTAGTTCCAAAAAAGGAGTTAGAAAAATATTTTTGAACAATGGCATTGTAGTTGGAATAATTGTATCCTCCCCGGGTGACTCCTTGAAGCCTCCTGTGGATATTTAAATTCATGCTTATTTAAAAACTAATCGTTCTTTTATAATCCCACCTCATACATTTTGATAGGAAAAGGTGGCAGTTTAGTCAAGCAAGGTCTTGCAACTGACCCCCCCACCCCACCCCTCTACACCCACCCACTCCACCCCCCAAAAAATCCCAGTTCTTTTTCAGGATGTGGGATTTTGATGAAGGAACTATGAATTTTCTGTTGAACAGCTTGGAGCTCTCCTGTTTTGTCCAGAGGCCCAGAGCAAGGTCCTTTTTACCTAGGCAATCTATAGAACCAGCATTTTACTGCCCTGTAATTTGGTTGCTGCAAAAAAATGGAGCAGCTGCTTCCATTTAAGATTTCTAGTATTATCTGCCAGGCCGAGGGACAGGATGTTGCTGCTTGGGGAAAAGATTGTCCAACCTTTTCGGGGTATTTATCGAGTCTTTCCATATTTATTTTTGTACTTCTCTTAGAGACTTCTCCACCCCAGAGTAAGAAGCTGAGGATTTGAGAGGTTTAGTCATTTACTCAGAGACTATCAACAAGTTAGGCCTGCTAGGCAGCTGATACTGGGGATACCAATCTAAGTGAAAAGAAAGACCATCCCTGCCCTCAGATGAATCACTGAAGGTAGTTGTTGTCGTTCAGTCATTTAGTCATGCCCAACTCTCTGTGATCCGCAGGTGAGGTTTTCATGGCAAAGACACTAGAGTAGTATGCCATTTCCTTCTCCAGTGGATTAAGGCACACAGAGGTTAAGTGACTTGCCCAGGGTCACACAGCTAGTGAGTGTCTGAGACCACATTTGAACTTAGGTTTTCCTGACTCCAGACCCAGTGAACTACCTAGCTGCCTCCATTACATCCACACACACACACACACACACACACACACATATAGTGTACATGTATGTGTCTATGTGATATACATACGTGTATGTATCTGTGTATATATGTATGCATATTTGTTGTTTTCAGTCTCATCCAACTCTCTGTGACCTCATCTGGGATTTTCTTGGCAGAGATACTAGAGTGGTTTGCCATTTCCTTCTCCAGCTCATTTTACAAATAAGAAACTGAGGGAAATAGGGTTAAGTGACTCGCCCACAGTCACACAGCTGGTAAGTGTCTAAGATTGGATTTGAACTCTGGTTCTAGGCCCCTTGCTCTGTCCACTGTGCCACCTAGCTGCCGCATACTAAAGCGGTAGTGGTAGTCATTCGAGTTGGGCTTGACAAGATTTGGATTGTGCTAAGTTACATCCTGTATACTTGCCTGTCTCAGTATCAGTCAATCAATTTATCAAGAATTTATTAAATTCCTACAGTGTGCTAGGTGCTCGGAACAGAAATAGAGAGAATGAAACAATCTGGGAGCTTATATTCTAATGGGCAGACAACAAGGATATATACAAGTGACGTTTAGAATAAACGTGTAGAAAATAAATGCAAATTAGTTGTAAAAGAAATTCTTTTACGTATCAAAAGGGATTCTGTCAGGCCACAGTAAGGAGGGACAATGCATCGTGGGATGGCCAGTGCCAAGGCCGCAAGAGAGGATCACCAGGGGAAATAGGGTTCTATGAGGCTACGAAGACAGGGAGGGGCCAGTTAGAAAGTAAAGAGCTTTAAAAGCTCAACAGAGCTTTTACATATTATCTGAGAGGCATTTAGGAGCCCTTAGTGAGTGGGGATGTGACATGGTCAGATGGGATCTGCACTTACTTAATGGACTTGGTAGTAGTATGTAGGATGGATCAGAGTACAGAGAGATCTGAACAAAAACCAGTTAAGTTGTAGTAACCTAGGTGAAAAGTAGTGAAAGGTCTGAATTAAGGGGGAAGCTATGTGAGTCTGGAGAAAGAGTTGTGTGCTAAGATGTGTAAATAGAAACAGAAATATTTGGCCACTAATGGGAAATGTGGGTGAGATAGAGTAAGGAATCAAGTACAATGCCAAAGTTACGAACTTGGGAGACTAGAAGAATGGTGAGCACATTTGTGAGAAGAATGAGTTACCGCCCTACTGTCTCTTCTTTCACTCACCCTGATCTTTTACCTGGAGGCTCCTATGGCTCTGCAAATTAGTTTGTTTCAGGAGGAAAGACAGATGAAATACTGTTACGGCAGCAGTTAAAGCCCTAGTAATAATGCTACAAGTGGTAACTCCTTGGTTGGGAGAACATGAAGTGAAAAAGAGCAGCATCTGGGATTTCCCCAGGGAGGGAGCAAGGGAGAGCGGGACTGGGGAGCTGATTCCACACCAGGGTAGGGCTGGTTTTGATAAAGGAGACTTTGCGGGCCGTGGACGTGGGAGAAGATGCAGGAGGTAGGAGCAGGGCTGAAAGAGTAGAGCTAAGCAGGGCAGTGCTAGTTCTGTGACGTGGAGGAATAGAGGTATGGGGGGCGGGGTGCAGGCAGGAGCACTGGGGCAAAGTAGGCCCAGGGTACCACAGCTGGGGCACCCCAGGCACTGGAAATGGAAAGATGAACAAGGAGACAAGGGCTGGAAGTGTTAGCAACCATCAGTTCTTTCTCTGGGGATGGAGAGCATTTTTCATCTCAAGTCTTTCCTAGTTGTCTTGGATCATTGTGTTATTGAGAATAGCTAAGTCATTCACAGCTGATCATCTTACAGCATTGCTGTTATTTTGCACATAGTACATTTCACTTTGCATCAGCCCTTGTCGGGTTTTTCTGAGAGCACAGAATAAATATTTTAATAGACTAAGATGAGGAGCATTTCATGAATGTTTGTTGAATGAATAAATATCTTTTTAAAAATTAGCTCATTTAGAAATTCCCTTCAACTCTAAAATTCTATAGTTCTTCCTATCAAAGTAGTGAAATTTCTATGAAATCAGCTTTCTAAGTTTCCTTTGGTAAAGCTCAATAGAAATGTATTTTATTTTTTAATATACACAATGTACATTAATCCTGTGTTTAATTGGGTGGTATAGAACATCATCCTAGGCGTCGTAAGTGGAAGTAATCTGTGATATTATGTATTTAATAAAACATTTTTGTTGTTGAGTCGTTTCAGTTGTGTCTGACTCTTCATGATCTCATTTGGGGTTTTCTTGGCGGAGATACTGGAGTGGTTTGCCATTTCCTTCTCTATCTCATTTTACAGATGAGGAAACTGAGGCAAACAGGTTTAAGTGATTATTCCAGGGTCACACAGCTAGTAACTGACTGAAGCTAGATTTGAACTCGGGAAGATGAGTCATTCCTGACTCCAGTCTAATGCTCTAGCCACTGCACCACCTAGCTTCCCTTCATAAAAATATCTCGTGATAAATCTCAGACATCTCACCTTGTGAAAGACATTCATAATTTTCAGATCCGTTGTGAGAATTTAAAACATTTTACTTGTTTTTTAGAGATGTGAAACTTTTTATATGTTAATTATAGTAAAACAGAAAAATAGTAAAAGCATTATAACGTTTTATTTGTTTGTTTTGATTTTAGCCAGAAAGTGAAATTTCGACCACCGCGGATGATTATAGTTCAGAGGTAAGACTAAATGGTCTTGGAGTTTCAGATGTAAAAAAGTTGAACTAAGAGTTTTAAATATTTCTGGTGACTCAAACCCTTCTCCTTCTTTTCCTTTAAAATGTATCACAAAATGCTAAGTTAAAAAAAAACACTTAAAATTATTTTGTCATATGGTCTCTTTTGAGACTGTTAGAGTCTTAAACCTCTTTGACTAGTTTCAATCTTATTCACTTAGACCTTCCATTATAGTATTTGAATTTTCCATAGATGTGTATGTACATATACATACACACACATATACATATATATCTCCTATTACATTGGATTCCTAGGATAAATGACTTTTGGAAGATTACTACATTTACATGAAGTAGAATATGCTCTGTAATTCTCTCTTAATATTTAATGTTCTGCTTGAATTCTTATGTTAATTTTTTATACTGAAAGAAGTGTTGAGATATGGTTATGCTTTTTTAAGATAGCAAAGCTAATCTAGAAATGGCATAATTATAAGAAATATCTTGGTTATACATCAGTAACACATATAAACATATAATACATCATGTTATTTAATTTACATCTCTTTTTTATTTTATTATTTTCTTTGGTCTAAAGACATAGAAGATAGTATTTTTTTATCTGAATGGTTCAGCCCTTCAATCTGTATCCATTGGCCTGAACACTGAAGAGTATTAATTTCCTTTGGTGTTAAAAAAAAAAAAAAGCATCATGCTCTTTCTTTGGGAAGAAATAAACTAGACCACTTTAAATTAGTTGTAGGCTATAAGGGGAATGAAAAATTTTGAAATGAAAAAAAGTTTTAAGAATTTTATTTGTACAGAAGGATTCGTTTAGTATTTGAACTGAGACATAAAATGATGAGAACATGATTAAAAAGTGCTAATTTTTTAGCTTAAAAAATACTTATAGAAAGGGAAATTAGTACTGGAAAATCTGGGTATTTATTTGCACATTTGTCATTAATTTGCATATCATTAGTAAGTGTTAGGAGATTCTAAAAAACATGCTGAAAAATGTAGGACTAGTGAAGTACTGCTAAAAATTCATCATCATCCTAACAGAGTTAAACAAAAACCCTCAAGATACATGTGAATTTTTAATTGCAAAAAATATAGTGATGGGATGACCTAACAAATTTGATGTGAAAAATATCTTGGCCCTCTTACCTAACAGCTTATGGGGCAATCTTTATCTGGATCATTCTTTGAGAAATTTTCTGCATTCTTACTGTATGCAGAAAACATCCTACAGAAAGTGATAGCAGTAGTTTAAATCATTTGGTGTTGCTTAAAGTGAATGAAAGCATAAGTTTAAGGAATTTTATATGATCTCATGGCCTTGATCTCAAAAAAAAAAAAAAAGTAGGGATCAGCACCATCTGAGAGTGATAAGAGAGGAGTTGATAGAGGAAAAAGGATAAAGTTTGGGAAATATAATAAGGAATTAATAAAATAAGAGAGATAAGAATTCCCTTTAGTAGTGAGGACCCATTTATAATTAGGTAGTAGGGAGGCCCCTTGAAATTCTTAAGCAGAGAAGTATCAGTGTGAAATTCCATCCTAGAAGAATGCATCTTATTTGCTTTTGATATTCTGAAGTTAATAATTTTTCTCCTGCATAAATGAACCTCATTTGGAACTTCCTTGGGATCCAACCAAACCACATGAAGTCCACCTAAACCAAATCACTGCCTAACTTAGAGCAACAGAAATACTTGAGGTGATCTTTTTTAAAAAAAATCCTTTTTATTATTGTGATCATGACAAACATTAATAAACACGATGATTTCTCTATGAAAAGAATTGAAAAAAACGTTGTCATATAAAACTATGACTACTCTGTACTGCTTGAGTTTGGTTTTTTTTCCTCTTTTTGAAACTTAAGGTGGGAGTTCAACAGTGTCCTCCTTGTCTGTGTAGCCCTTTGGTTCTCTTCTGTTTATTTTTTTAATAATTCATTCACCTTTTTTTTTTAATATTACTATCACCACCCCTTTAAAACTCCCTCACCAAAAAAAAACTGCCATCCTTCCATATAACAAGAAAAGTATAAATCACACAAAACAGATCCACATATTGATCACATATGGTACTCTTTTAAAAACTAGAAAGAGTTATTATGTCCATGAGTCCCCACCCCAGATTTTTCTTCCTTGTTCTCATCCTTTACTTTCAGCTTATCCTCATCTTTCCCCAGTATCTTTTCCCCTACATTCCTTCATCCTAACTTTCCTAGTTCTGTTAAGGAGTACCACTCCGTCCTTCTATTTGCCCATGTTTCTACTTTTTCTACTTTTTTTCTACTTTGGGGAAGAGCTGTAGTGGCTCCTGTTAAAGAATGCTGGAGATTAGCTTGAGTTGGCCTGCAAGAGGGCAGGAATAAGGAAAAAAAACAGTCTTGTAGAAATGGATGTTCTTAATAGAATGGGCAGGAGGAGGGTGGGGAGAGAGGCAGAATTGTCAGGATGTTCCAAGCCTTGTCTTGAGTAATTTTATGTAAGCGTCCATCTTAACATAATTTTCATCTTACAACCAGCCTCCTGAACATTTGTATTAATGTTGTAATGCTAACCTAGCACTAGTAAACTATTTGATTAGAAATGGATCTGGCTTGAACACATCTTAAATATGGCAATTTAAAAGAAAAATTTTGATAAGATGTTTCATAAAAACTGAACTGGTTTCACACGATTTTGTTAAAACAGCTTAACTATTTTTTGTCATAATTGATATATTTTATCCTTCTGAAGTGAAAAGTATACTCATTTTGAATTGCAGTTCATTGTCATATCTTTATCATGCGTCTGTAAAAATTTAGTCCAAACTGAATAAAATAGTAATGAAGCATTTTTGTTACATGTGTAGAAAAAATATATTTCCATTAGCTATAGATTGTTATATTTAAATTCATAACATATTAAGAAATTGTTCTTATACAGGTCAATGGTTGCAGTTTGGTGAGAGCAGATATTCCTACAAATTTATTAATGGTACAGTATTACAAGTTATGTAATAATAACAGTGTTTAATACTAAGAGCACTTGTCTACTAGCTTGCTAATCAGTCTTTTCTCCTGCATGTGGTGCTATCTTTGTGGTGTTTACGTGTCTTTAACTTCATACAGGACACTCAGTTTTTGTTAAAAAGCTTAATATTAACAGAATTTGCAACTGTTCTTTATGTCAGAGCTTTTAAGGTTCAAATTACATTAACCACACAACAAGTCAGTAAGTTCTTAGATGACATGGAAGTCAGCATTTGAATAAGCTCCTCTTGAGGAATGCTCTAAGTACTGATTTTTAAGAACCTTGGATTGATTTAGGAAGAAGAGTTTGGCGTTGGTGAGTCTTGTTCTGAACAAGGAGCACAGTACCCTTCGACACGACTAGCGATGATGGAGAATGAATTGGTTGGGAAGCAGCAAGAGATTGAGGAGCTTACCAGAGAGCTAGAGGAGATGAGGGCAGCGTATGGCACAGAAGGATTGCAGCAGGTATACTTACCTTATGTTGCTTCCTGTTTATTGCTTATCAAAACAGAGACCTTCATATCCATGACTAGTGCATGACTATTGTTGAGAGATAGTTTTAAGCATGAATATTGAAGTTATAGTTGTCCTGATGTAAATTAGGACACATTTCATTCATATTCCATAGTCACAATTTTCAATCCTTGTATGTTCTTTGGATAATATTCAGAAAATAAATCTTAGAATCAGTTGGAGTTTTTTTATGTAATAGGGAAATCATTATTCATCAGACTTTCCTGATCTCAGCTTGCCCAGAAAATGAGTTCTTTCTATGACTGACCAGGTTTGCTGCAGACCATAGACTGTTTAAATAGACAGTGGGACTTGGAGGACATGAAAATGTGTCATTTGCTTCTTGATTTAAAAGAGACGTTTCTTTTGAACAACTTGAGATAAGGGTACCTTTGACGTTCATATTATTGTAATAACTGTTTGTTTCTCATTCCATTTAAAATTTATTAGTTTTTGTTTTTTTTCCTTAATTTGTGTTTCATATTTCTGCATGTTTTACAAAATTCCCTTTTTTTGTTTATGTGCAATAATTTCTAAAGAACCTTAGATAATTTAAACAGTATTTAGTTGAATTCTTATTTCTTATTACTATGTTTTAGATTGCTATTCAAACAGTTCAGTAGGTTAATTTTTTGGTAACTGAGTTAAAGAGTAGTTATAATAGTTTTTCGTTGTTCATTCGTTTTCAGTGGAGTCTGACTCTTCATGGTCCCATTTGGGGTGGGTTTTCTTGGCAAAGATACTGGAGTGGTTTGCCATTCATTTCCTTCTCCAGCTCATTTTACAGATGAGGAAATTGAGGCAAAATAGGGTTAAGTGACTTGCCCAGGGTCACACAGCTAGTTAGTATCTGAGGTCAGGTTTGAACTCAGTAGGAGGCATCTTCCTAACTCCAGGTCTGATGCTCTATCCACTGGGCTACCTAGAGGCCCCAGTTATGACATTAACAATCAGAAATTTGTGTAGTATTTAATGATTTACATAGTTCTTTTTAAGAACTTTTCAAGTTCTTAAAGTTCTTTTAAAGAGTTATTTACATGTTATTCTTCCAAAAACTTTATGAGGTGGGTTGAGCAGATGATGTTATCTCCATTTAACTAATGAATAAACTGAGGCTCAGAGCCCAACAGGTTCAGGTCACAAAACTAGTAAATGATAGAAGTGAGCATGAATTGCACATTTTCTGTCTTTATATTTTATACTATATTTCATCTATCATCCTGTAATAACAATGTAGAAAACCTTTGTTTTGTAGCAATCCACATAGAAAATTGTGACTTAAATACACTGTAGTTTTATAGTTGGTATGTGAGTTCTTGTGGTGCCTATCTAATTTATTGGGTGACTACTCGTGATAGGCTGTTCTCCTTAGGATACAATGAAAAAGAGAGAAAAAAATAGCTTTGTAGTAAGAGTGACCTGATGATTACAGTTCCTGCCAGAAGAAAGCACTGTTGCATATTCCTTAGTAGGTATTCATAGAGACAAGAATAGGGATGTGTCACTAATGTTCTGTTTACTTGATATCTCCAGAATGAAAATGAGGGGAAGAGGAGTTTTCGTTTTCCTAGTGGAGAATTAACAGATCTTCATATTCTGTGGAATTAGGAAATCAAAATACTTTTCAGTTAAAATAATGAGTCAAAACATCTAACCTACCAACTTAGAATAGAGACAGAAGAAATTGATTTGACTGATCTAATAAGAATATATTTGTCTACTATTTAAAAATAATAATATCTACCCTATTTCCATCAAGAAGGCAGTGTATTCCAAAAACCTCCCATGGTAATCAGTTCTAATGTTGGACAGTTTTCACTGAAAATATATCATGAGTATATTTAGTGGTTTTGCTAGTCTTATATTTTCATTTTCCCACAAGTATGGGAATATGCCAAAACAAAGAATTTGGCAACTGCATGTTTATATCCTGCTTACATAATATTATTGCACTAGCAAAAATATTACCCACTTTTTGGAAAGAGGAATACAGGCTTTTGTTGTTGGATGATTTGCAACATGTTTCATATTGAATATTTTAAAGGTTCTTAATTTATGTAAAATAATTTTGCTATGAAATTGCTTATGAAATTCTTTTGAAGTATGCCTCAATTAAATCGTGTGTTTTCCCTCCATATTTAGGAAGAAATAGCAAAATTCTATATTTTCTCTCTATAAATATTCAGAAATAATTTCCCTTTTACTATAAAATCTCTTGGTGGGGGGTTCTCGTTTCCTCTGTAATTTTGTTTTTCTAATTGGACTAAAAGTCCAGGATCCAGTGTTTCAATTAACTTTACTAGGAAAATCACTTTAAAAATCATTCAGCTTTATGGCTAATGTTACTGTCTTTCATGACTGCACAAGTATAGGTCTAGAATAAAAAATTTATTCCTTTAATAAATTTTGTGGGTAAAATAATGCTTTCCTTTGAAAGCTCCTCTAGGTGTGTGTGGTATACATTGAGAAGAAATTTTGTGCAAAATAATACTTATTTTCATTAGAAAGAATGCAAGGCAAATTAATGTTGTGGAGTTTATTCAGGGAAAATGTAAATTTAGAATTATAGATTTTAATATTTCTCCTTGCCTATTGAAGTTGTTAAGGCATAATTGAGTGATTTTTAAGTCATTAAATACTCTTGTCAAGATGAAAAATGACAGCTAACAATACAGATATTATAACTTAAAAATAAAATATAACAAGTACGTTGTATATCATTGACATTTAGAGACATTGGTAATGTCCTAATCAAGGGCTTTATCTATGTTAGTAAAGTGGAGACATTATATATCAGTCTGTGTTCTCCTGATCACATGGATATGAATATTCCCATCATTGTTACAGATAACAATCCATTCATGCCTTGTCATCCTTTGCAATAGTTCGGGCCCATGCATAAATCTTATCTGGAATCAGTCGGTTAATAAGCATTTACCTCCTGTGCTCCAGACACCATGCTAAGCACTGGGGATACAAAGAAAGACCAAAAATAAAAATAAAAAAGAGTCCCTGTTCTTAAGGCACTCACAGTCTGATGAAAGAGACAACATGCAAATGGCTACATACAAACCAAATATATAAGGATAAATTGGAGATAATCAATAGAGGGAAGGCATTAGCTTTAAGAGGGATTGGGAAAGACTTCTTGTAGAAGGTAGAATTTTGGCCAAAACTTCAAGGAGACCAGGAAGACCAGAGGATGATAAGAAGAGAGAGAATCCCAGGCAGACAGTAAAAATAGCCTGAGTTGGGAGATGGGGTGTTTTGTGTGACAAACTACAAATAGACTGGTGTCACTGGATATGTAATATATGAAGACTGGAAAGGGCCAGGTTATAAATGGCTTTAATAACCATACATATAATTTTATATTTGATCCTAGAGGTAATAAAGAGCCCCTGGAGTATGTCGATGAGTAGGGACTGGGGTGTAATGCAGTTAGACCTACACTTTGAGAAGATCACTTTGACAGGCAAGTGGAACATGGACTGGAGAAGAGAGAGACTTGAAGCAGGGAGACAAACCAGTGGGCTATTGAAGTAGTCCAGGTGGGAGACCATAAGAGTCTGGACCAGGATAGTGGAGTATCAGAGGAGAAGATGGCCTGTATGAAAAATGTTATGATGATTTGAAACAATAGGTCTTGGCAAAAGATTGCAGATGAGGGGGGTAAGAGAAAGGAGTTGAGGATGACACCTAGGATGGTGCCCTCAATAGTAATAGGTAAAGTTAAGAAGAGAAGAGGGCTTTGGGGAAAAGATGAGTTCTGTTTTAGACATACTGAGTTCAGTAGGCAGTTGGAGTTGTGGCACATAGGGTCAGGTGAAAGGTTAGGCCTGGATAAGCAAATTTGGGAATCGTCAGCGTAGAGATGGAAGAAGCTCCATGAGAGCTGATGTGATCATTAAATGAAGTAATTTGGAGCATGTTGGCAAACTATGGCCCATGGATCACATCATGCCTTCAGCCCATTTTTGTAGAGCCTGTGAGCTAAGATGATTTTTATATTTATAAGTAAAATTTTATTGTATTTAAAAGTGTAAAAGCTATTATTAATTCACAGGCCTAGAAAAAGAGGAAAAGCAGCCTGTGGACTAGTTTGCCTACCGTTGGTATAGAGAAGAATGTGAAGGCCAGGGACAGAATCATGGGGAACTCTTACCCACAGTTAGTGGGCATGCCTTGGATGAAAGCCCAGCAAAGGAGACTGAGAAGGAATGCTTTGATAAGTAGAGACAGAACTAGGCAAGAACAAGTATTACGAAAACCTAAAGAGAAGAAAGTATCAAGGAGAAGAGGGTGGCTGACAGTGTCACAAGCTGCAGAGAGGTCAAGCAGAATGAGGGTTGAGAAAAGGCCATTGGATTTGGTGATTTAAAGATCATTTTTAACTTTGGAGAGAGCAGTGTCAGTTGAATGATGATGTTGGAAACCAGTCTGCAGAAATCTGAGAAGAGAGTGAGAAGAAAGAAGGAAAGTGGAGGCACTGATTATAGACAGCCTTCTTTCACAAAAGGGAGGGGAGGCATGGGGCAATAGTTAGGAGGAAGGGACGGATGAAGTGAGAGGCTTTTACAGATGGGAGACATGGGTGTGTTTATAGGCGATAGGAAAGCCTCACATAAATAGGGAGAGATTAGGGGCAGCTAAGTGGCTCAGTGGATAGAGCACCGGCCCTGGAGTCAGGAGGACCTGAGTTCACATCCGGTCTCAGACACATAACACTTACTAGCCGTGTGACCCTGGGCAAGTCACTTAACCCCATTGCCTAGCCAAAAAAAAACAAAAAACAGGGAGAGATTGAAGATTGGTGAGAGAGGGGGCAATCTGCTGGAGAAGATGAGATCAAGGGGAGAAGATTAAGATTGATCCTGTATCATTTTCTTATTGATCCTATTTACAATTAATTGATTTTGTTGTATAACTGCTTAAGTCGTGGTTCTTCATCTCTGAACTTTGTTTAGAATTCAGCTGGCCTGTAATGGGTTAAGTTTAAAAATCCAGCTTTCTTGCCTCAAGGAATTTAACTGATCTTGGGAATGTGTGTGAATTCAAGGGCGTCAGGCCTGATATCTTTACTTCACCAAGTCATCCTTCAGAGATGTCTGGTTTGCTGTCCAAAAGTCTGGGCCGCTCTCTTGCACTTGGACTGCAACAAAGAGCATTTCTTAGTCTTATGAGAGAAGGGACGTGAGGGGTCATTGCTGGCCCCTGTTACCAGACTTCCAACCAGTCATGTTCCCTGCACCTCAGCTCCATAACCAGTTGTGTTGCCCCCAGTCCCATGATGTCATCTACCCTTTTCAGTTCTTTGTTCTGTATTCCTCAAAACCTGTGAAAGGGGAACTCTCCTCTTGCTCAGGGTCTGTGGCATAAACAGAGACAAGCCATGGACCCATTTATTGATAGGTAACATGCCCCTGCTCGTAAATATTATCTTATGAAAAGATCTGCCTCAGTTTATCTTTTTGTTAAATTCCAGCTGTGACAAAGGAGAAGGGCCACCTCTTCATGTGAGACAGCTATGAAGGAGGCAGAAATGGTAGAAGGCATCTGAGTGATGTGAGACAAGGAGCAGAGAAAAGAGAGCTCTTGGGGAATGGCCTTAAGTTTTGCAGTGAAATATGAGGCCACTTTCTCCATCGAGGGTGGGAGAAAGAAGGAAGAGCCATTTCCTAACGAGAAGTCACCCACAGGCATCTCAAATGCACAATGTGTCCAGCACTGAGTCCATTATCTTCCACTTCCTCTTCAACCCTCTCTTCCTAAGTTCTCTGTTTTTGTTGAGGAGATCTCCATCTTTCCAGTCATCCAGGTTCTCAAGCTTAAAGTCATCCTCAACTGGTCACCTCCCTCACCCCTCACATCAAAGCTTGTTAATTCCACTTCAAGATAGCGCTTGCCTCTTTTCCCTTCTCTCCACCTGTAGGACCACCGATGAGCCCACGGTCTGTCTTTGGGTCTCACTTCAGTGTATGGCCAGTGCTGTTACAATAGCACTGTCCAGTGACTACAGCACGTACACAGATACCTCAGTGCAAAACATCCCTTGAGGAGGGAGAGAATATTAGCAACTGCAGGAGGGTGCAGAGAATGTGTCCTGAGGGAGGCGGCACCTACGCATTGAGAGTGGGGAGCAGGGGGTTCATTACAAGAACGGGAGTGATTAGACACAAACACAAGGAAGGGGGGAGTGTGGAGTTTGAGGAGTAACCAGTCGGTCAGTGTGGCTGGAATATAGATCGTGTACAGGTGGGGAATGACGTGAAATAAGGCTGGAAAGGTACTGCTGAGGGCCGCGTATGCTAAACTGGGGAGTTTTTATTTTATCCTAGAGATAATAGGAACCATTGAAGGTTTGTGATAAGGCCTTAGGAAGATTAAGCTGGAAGCTTTAAGAAGAATGAATTTGAGAGGGGCAGACCAGTTAGGAGCTATTGAAGTTGTCTAGGTTAGAGGAAATGATCAGGCGTCTAAATGTTATGAACCCCAGGGACTGGGAGGCTACCGTATTGCCTGAGGGGGGGCAAACTGGACCAGTTGGAAACAGAACAGGTCTTCAGCGCCTGTGCCAGTCAGAGTAACACTGGGCTTATAAATAACCCCTGTGCTTCCAGCCTGGGAGAGATAGGGAAACCCAGTTTTAAAAAAGAGAAAGGAAATGCCTGCTGAAATAAGATTTTAGAATCTAACGTATTATTTCAACATTTAGTTGTATATCATTTTAATAGCAATTAACCTATAATTGCATTTTTTTAAGTTTTGTTTTTTATCACCCGTTTTCACTTTTTTTATAGCTTCAAGAATTTGAAGCTGCAATTAAGCAAAGAGATGGCATCATAACCCAACTTACTGCTAACCTACAGCAAGCAAGAAGAGAAAAAGATGAGACTATGAGAGAGTTTTTAGAACTGACAGAACAAAGTCAAAAGTTGCAAATACAGTTCCAACATGTAAGTCTTCTTGCTAGTAAATTTTTATTTAAAAATAGTTTAATTTATTTCTTATAACTTTTGTGTCTTTCAGGATAAATACTATGTTCATCTAATATTTGTTTATTCTGGATTATTATATAAGGGAAATAGTGGGTGCCAGCTAATCATATTAATTAAACGTTAGTTTATATTCCCCTTGGTGGCTTCCTTTTCATTGGTTTCTCTGCTTTCTCCTTTTGTTTTCCATTTCAAGAATTACAGATGACAGAAAGTTCAATGTTTTACATTATCGTTGTTTACTAATGGTTTCCATGGCTGAGACTGAACTTTCTCCTCAAAATAGTATGATAGCTAAATAATTTTCTAGGCAATAACAATAATAATAGTAACAATTCCCTGGAACAAAAAAAATGCTCTGAGCAAATAATAATAAGACTAATGATTAATCTTTCTCTCACCCTCAAAAAACTCCTTTACCATTCATTTGTAGTTGTGTGTGTTTGTGTGTGTGTGTGTATGTGTGTGTGTGTGTAGGAGCAGAAGTGATAAAAATGTCTGCATATAAAAATATAATGGTCAATTCTAATAAGCAGAGGTAACATTGATGACTAGATGGGACCCTCTTTCTTTTCATGATGATGGTTTCCTTCACAATTGATGAATTTTTTAGCATGAATTAACTGCCAAAAAAAATCTACAAAAAAGCAGATTTCGGGCTTGAGATTTGTCTTTCATCATGCTACATCTTTTATTAAACACATTTTCATAAGCAAGTCCAGGACTTGTTCCTCCAGGTTCACTTTGAGGACACTGGTATATAAGGAAGTACCTCTTCCAAGGCCACCCAGAAACTTTGTGGAAGAGCTGCTGTGATGAGAAATTGACTGTGTGAACCTGGATCAGGGATTCTTAACTTGGGGCCCATGAGCTTACTTTTTTAGTTTTTCAATAACTGCATTTCAGTGTAATTGATTTCTTCTGTAATTCTTTTTTTTTTTCATACTTTTAAAACCATCTGAGAGGAGAAAGCCAAGATGGCAGAATAGCAGGACAAGTATAGCTCAGTTCCTCCAACACAGACTCTCCTCAAAGATTTAGAAAATACACCAAGCCAATTCCTGATCAGGAAATTAAAAGAAAAAAATCACAGCAAGTCTCTTTTATTTTTTCTAATGAAGGTCAGTATAGGGAGACAAAGAGTTCTCTGGATATTGGGGACAGGACTTGGCCAGAGATACAGCCGTATGCTGGAACTGAAGAAGGACTGAGGCTGTGTACTGGGGTAAGAACAGGTCTTAAAGGGACCCCAGCCTTGTGCAGGAACAGGTGCCAAGTGACAGAGCTGTCCCTCACTATCCCATTCCAGATCCCAGACCCAAGGTGGACCTAGGAGGGGACCTGTGTCTAGGTTTGGCATCGCAGGGTAAGGAAAAGTTCTGGGCCTTAGGCTGTGTACTGAGTGAGGAACAAGTTCAGAAGCAAACCAACTTTGTGGCTCTGACCCAGGAAGCAGAGCAGAGTGTCAGTTCTAGCCACTAGCCTGGTCTGAAGCCTATAGTGAACTAATGAGGACGGGGATCCCAGACAAAAGGGGACCCTGTAGTTTGCTCATGCAAAACCAGCAGTTTTCCATCTGGCTGACAGTGTCTTGAGTCTAGCCACAGTCTACTGGAGCTTCCAATGAAGGACAAGCCCGTAGGAGTGTTGCATACCCAGACCAGGGTCAGAAACTTGCAGAGCTCACACCCGGAGGGCAATAATCGGACATTGCCCCAGATCTCATTGCTTTAGGAGCATTAGAAGATTTCAGGTGCCCAGCCTGAGCGATCCTTGAGATCTTGGAATAACATAACATAATGCTCAATTCCCCAGGAAAGCATCCGAAAGATCCAAGATGACAAATGGTCAGTTCAGATGTTTCTCCCAGAAGTGCACAGAGCCCAGCTAAGTCCAAAGTCAGGAAGCAGGCTGGAAAAATGAACAAACAAAAACATACCACCATCAAGAGATGCTGTGGTGACAGTGACACTCAGGACACACACTCAGAAGAAGAGAATGGCTCCAAAACATCTAAAAGCAGAGCCTCAAATATAAACCCAGCTTGGATAGAAGTTTAACTAGAATTCCTGGAAGATAGGAAGCAAGCATTTTAAAAAGAGCTAAAAATAATTTTAGAACCCAAATTAGAGACCTAGAGAGGGAAAAAATGGAAAGAAATGAGAGAGAAAAAGATTTGGAAAGTTAATTAATATCATGGAACAAGAGGTACAAAACCTTACCAAGAAAAAACTCTCTAGAAGCTAGGTGAAGCAGTGGGTAGAATGCCAAGCCTGAAGTCAGGAAAACCTGAGTTCAAATCTGACCTCAGACACTTACTAGCTTACAAGTGACCCTGGGCAACTCATTTAACTCTGTTAGCCTCAGTTTCCTTATTTGCAAAATGTGTATGATAATAGCACCTACCTCCCAAGGTTGTTGTGAGGTTAAAATGAAATAATAATTGTCAAGCACTTAGCACAGTGCCTAAGGGCTCATAGTAAGCACTGTATGAATGTTAGGTATTATTATTAAAATTAGAATTGACCAAATAGAAACTAATAATTATTGTCCATAAGACAAGAAATATTAAAGTTTAAAAAATTAAAAATAGAAGAAAATATAGGCTATCTCATAGCAAAAACAACTTATGTGGAAAACAGATTGAAAAGAAATATATATATATATATATATATATATATATATATATATATATATAAGAATCACTGGACTACGTGAAAGTAAATGACCAAAAAGAAAAATGGCTAAAAAAGAACCTAGACATATTTCAAGAAATTGTAAATGAAAACCTTCCAGATATTTTAAAACCAGAAGACAAAGTAGAAATATAAAGAATCTGCTGATCACTTCCTGAAAGAAACTCCAAAATGAAAACTCTTAGGAATATTGTAGCCAAAATCCAGAGCTTCTAGGTTAAAGAAAAAACACTGCAAGCAGACAGCAAAGAAGAATTCAAGTACTAAGGAGCCATAGTCAGGATAAAACAAAATTTCCCAGCCACCACTTAAGAGGAGCAGGGACCTTGGAATATAATGTTTCAAAAGGCAAAGGATCTAGGGACTTAGAGGTAAGAATAACTCAGCCCTGAAAACTTGAGTATAATCCTACAAGGAGAAAAATGGATTTTTAATGAAATGGAAATCTTCCAAGCATGCCTGACAGAAAGATCAGAACTCAATAGAAGAAATTCAGGACTCAAGAGAACCACAAAAAAGTAAACATGATTCTACCCTTTGACCTATCCATACCACTATTAGATCTGTTTCCCAAGGTGATTTGGGAAAAAGGAAAAGGACCTATATGTTCTAAACTATTTATAGCAGCTTTCTTTATGATGGCAAGGAACTAGAAATTGAGAAGATGCCCATCAATCTCAATTGATGGCCAAATGAGTTTTGGTATATGACTGTGAGGCAATACTACTGTGCAGTAAGAAATTATAAGCAGATTGAATTTAGAAAAACATGGAAAGACTTAACATGAAATAATGAAAAGTGAAATGAGCAGAACTAAGGAAACATTATGTACAGTAACAGCAATATTGTTCAAAGAATAATTGTGAATAACCAAGTTATTCTGAGTATTGTAAATATTCAAATCAACCATAAAGGACCTATGAAGGAAGATGCTGTCCACCTCCAGAGAAAGAACTGATAAGTAGAAGTATGCATAGTATGATTTTACATAAATTTGTAAATCTATCTCAAGTGATGGCCTTCTTCAGTGCGGAATAGAGAGGGAGGAAGGGAGACAGTTAAAAACTTAAATTGTAATAAAAAATTAAATTTTAAAAAATAAATAAGTTTAAAGTAAAAAGAAACAGGTGAGTCAAAGAACAAATCACAGGAAAACATCAACAATTTGGAATATAACTAAAATAGTTCTTAGAGAGAAATTAATATCTCTAAACACTTTATCAAGAAAATAAAGAGTAAATCAACTAATAGAAACCCTAAAAATCAGGGAAGAGATTAACAAAATTAAAAACAAAAAAAAATCATTCAATTAATGAATAAAACCAGGAGCTGTCATTAAAAAGAAAAAAGTAGATAAGCCATTAGCTAACTGGATTTTTAAAAGAGAAAGAAGAAAACAAATTAGGAATATCAAAATTTTTTTAAAAAGATGAATTTACTACCAATGAAGAAGAAATAACAAGTTATTAGGAACTGTTTTGCCCAATTAAATGCCAATAAAACTGGCAATATAAATGAAGTTGAAAATATTTTCATACTATAAAATACTTAAATTAACAGTATATAGAATAGAAGACAACCCAACTTAAGAAAAAGAAATTGAAGAAGCCATAAATGATTTCCAAAGAAAAATACAGGGTCAGTTAGATTTACAAGTGGGTTCTATAAAACACTTAAAGAACAATTAATTCCAATACTATAGAAACTGGAAAAATAGGAAAAGAAGTCCCAACAAACTCCTTATATGATATAAATATGATCTTAATACATAAACCAAAGAGAGGCAGAACAGAGAAAGAAAACTGGACCAGTTTCCCTGATGAATACTGATGCAAAAAAAAGATTTTTTAAAATGAAATGCCAACAAGGAAACTATAACATATCACAAAGACTGCACACTGAAAAAGCTGGATTTATACTAGGAATGTAGGGCTGACTCAGTATAAGGAAAGCTATAAACATAATTGATCATATTAATTTTTAAAAATCATGTTATATCAATAGATGTAAGAAAATCTTTTGACATACTACCGCACATGTGTATCAAAAAAAAAAAAAAACACACTTGAAAACATAGGAGTGAAGTTTTTCATCAATATAAGTAAAACCAAGAGTCAGCATTGTCTGTAATGGGAATAAACTAGAGGCCTTCCCTCTAGTTTAAGATTGGGGTAAAGCACATATGTTCATTATCACTATTACTGTTTAATATAGTGCTAAATATGCTAACTATAGCAATAAGAGAAGAAAAAGAAGCCGAGAGGATAAGCACAAAGCAAAGAGGAAACGTTAACTGTTTACTTAGATAACCCTAAAGTTAACTAAAATATAATTGAAACAGTTAACGAATTTGGCAAAGTTTGAGGATATAAAATAAACCTACATCAAACATCAGGATTTCTGCCTATAGTTCCAAAAAATTCAGCAGGAAGAGATAGAGAAATTCCATTTAAAATAACTGCAGACGGTATTACATACCTGTCAAGACAAAAACAAGAACTATATAAGCACAACTACAGTGTAAAATATCTTTAGACAAATAAAGACATCTAAGTAATTAGAGAAATATTAATTGGACATGGGTTAAGCTGAGCCAAAATAATAACGACAATATTACCTAAGTTAATTTACTTTTTCAGTGCTATAGCAACCAAACTACCAAAGGATTACTTTATACAGTTAGGGAAAAAAAAAAAAAAACCAACAACAGAATACATCAGGAGGAGCAAAAGATCGAGAATATCAAGGAATTAATGGAAAAAAGTGGGAAGAAAAAGGGCCTAGCAGTGCTCGATCTCACACTAAACTACCAGAAAGCAGTAGTCATCAGAACAGTTTAGTACTGGATGAGAAATAGAAAGGATGATCAATCAAAGAGATTAATACACTGTACACAGAGGCCAATGAGCACAGTAGCCTAGTGTCTGATAAACCAAAAGATCCCAGAGCTCACCAACAAAACTTGAGCAAACTGTGAAGCAATCTGGCAGAAACTAGTTATAGACTAGTATCTCTCACTAAGACAAGCTCCAAATAGATACAGAACTTAGACAGAAAGGGTGACATCGTAAACAGGTTAGAAGAGCAAAGAGGAAATTACCTGTCAGACTAGGAGCCTTTCCCAAAGTGATAGTCAAAGGAAATGAATGGGCACCTTGTAAAGGAAGAAATCCAAGCTACCTATGACTGTATGAAAAAAATGCTCTCAATCATTAATAGTTAGAGAAATGCAAATTAAAACAACTCTAAAGTACCGCCTTACAGCCATCAGATAGGTAAAGTTGACAGAATAAAATGACAAGTTCTAGAGTCTGTGGGAGAACAAGTATATAATGTTCTGTTAACTGTGCATTACTGTGAACTGGTCTAGCCATTCTAGAAAGCGATTTGGAGCTATGTACAAAAAGCTAACTAAGCTGTATGTACTCCGACCCAGAAATAACTCTACTAGGTCTGTCATCCCATAGAGAGCAAAAAAAGAGGAAAAGAGCACTTATGTACAATATTTTGTGGTGGTTGTTGCAGTAAAGAATTGGAAACTGAGAGGGCGCCTATCACTTGGGGAATGGCTGAACAAATTATGGTATATGTATGTGATCAAATGCTGTTGTGCTATAAGAAATGATGAAAAGGATGGTTTTATAGCAATCTCTATAAACTGATGCAGAGTAAAGTGATCAGAACTAGATGAACAGTTTATACATTAACAGTATTGTAAAGACAAACCATTTTGAAAGACTTAGGAACTCCAATCAGTGCAATGAACAACCGCATGTCCAGAGAACTCATAATGAGACATGGTACCCACCTCCTGATAGAGAAACTAGAGACTCATAGTGCGCGTTGAGACATTTGTATGTATGTTGTGTGTGTATTTTTTTTTTTGGACATGGCCAATGTGAGTATTTGTTTTGACTATAATATTTGTAGCAGAGGTTTTATTTTTTCTTATTTTCTTACTGACCTATTTGGGGTTCAGTAGGAGAGAGAGGAGATATTCATGAAAATAAAATTGAATTGAAGAAATTAAAAAGTTATTTTGAGAAAGGATCCATAACACAAAGAAAGATTAAACTCCTTCCAGCCCCCACATCTCCCTAGTTAACTACTTAATCGGTAAGAATTCTTGTGATAAGGGCATGAGAGCTACAGAGAGTTTTATATAATAAAGGTATATAAACATATATAGAAAAAATATGTCATAGTATATGTTTTGCATTTGCCTAGAAGGAGACTTGATAATCTCCTGAGCGTAATATACTGGTCCAACTAATCTTGACCATGACATTTTTCTGTGGTCATATAAGTTGCATTTCTATCACTTCTATTGGTATTTGGTGTTCATACCATTAGTTGCATTTTCCTCCACTTCTTTTCTTACATCACTAATTGGAAAAGAGGAATTAACTTTTCTAGCAGTGCCATAATTTTGACTTTTCAGAATTTTTTTTTATAACAAAATGAACCGACTCCTGCTCTCCCTATGTTAGTGCCCTCAACAAAAAAATTACCATGTATTTACTTTGTGTATTTCTTATGTATATTTATGTATCTGCATGTCATTTCCTCCAATAAATGTAAACTCTTTGAAGGCATGAACTGTTTTATTTTTGTTTTTGTACCCCTAGCACCTAGCATAATGCCTGGTGTATAGCATGCTCTTAATAAATGTGTGTTGATTGATTGAGAGAGCTTTTTTCTAGATTGAGAGGCTTTTCCTAGTCTCAGCATAGTCATCTTGCTTTATTCCAACTGGTTGGTACACAGGTTGCTAAATTGAAGGTGGTATAAAATTACTATTTTACAAACCTTTCTAGTTGATAAAGTATGAAACAACACAGCTCTTATTAACATTGCTCCAAATAAAGTCTATACTTTTCCTCCAAAAATTGACTTGTGTTAAACTAGTGGGACTATCATGACATTAGATTTCAGCGTCTGTCCAGAAAGTTTTTTCCCCTTTCAAAGAAATTTCATTTTAGGGGTGCTACCTCCATTATGAGGGTGGTCTATGTAATTGAATCAATATATTATGTTTAGGAGACTGTAAGTCTCCTTCTAGGCAAATGCAAAGCTTGATATATTTTTTTCTATATATGGTTATATATTTTTATTGTGTAGTTATTGAAATCTCATCATAAAACTCTCTGTAGCTCACATTATTACAAGAACTCTTGCAAGTAAAGTAGTTAACTAGTAGTTAACTGGGGGCTGGAGGGAGTTTAGACCTAGGTCAGACCACTTTGGTGGGATCAGAGCAGATCTATGTTTTACCCAATGTTGCTCCAAGTTGAATAGTTTCATAGCGGACTTCCATTTCTAACTCATGATGGTAATATAACTTTTGTGGAAGGGCACTTCTTTTTCTGTTAAACAGTGTATACCCTGTTAAGTGATTCTCATCCTGGTCAAAATGGAAGTTTTTTCAGAACTGTATTTGGGAAAGGGCGTGGGGATGGGGGGTGATGTACAGATCGTGGTATCAAAGGAAAAGAACAAAGGATTCTTCTTTCTTCCTTTTTTTGTGCAAATGTCATTGCTAACATTTTTAATGTCATTTTTTTGCCTTTTTTTATTTTAGTTACAGGCTAGTGAAACTCTGAGAAATAGCAGTCATAGTAGCACAGCTGCAGATTTACTTCAAGCCAAACAACAGATTCTCACTCATCAGCAGCAGCTAGAAGAACAAGACCATTTATTAGAAGATTATCAAAAGAAGAAAGAAGAATTCAAAATGCAAATTAATTTCTTGCAAGAGAAAATTAGAACTTATGAGATGGTATGCTCTTTTTAATGATAGTCTACCAAAAGATTTGTAGCTTTGCAATTAACTTTATATTAATTTTTTATCACCCTTTGAATTAATTTAAAAAGCTTTAGAAATAAACATTCATTTCATCATTACTATGCAAATGATTCACAAAAGCTTTATAATGAAGAAAAATTCTTTTCAGAGATAAAATAATAATTTATTTTATAACTTTTTACAGCCCCATTATAATCATGCAAGTCTTGAGTTCTAAGCCCCAAGTTAAACTTTTATGTGGTGATGAAGCCCTTCTTCTAGGTCTTATGATTAAGGCCTTTGGAAAAGGTCTAGCATAAATCCATGCTAATTCAGTGTTATGAGCAGATTACATTAAGAGGGAAACTGTAAATTAATAATGTTTCTATATAGACTCTGATTTCTGACCCTGTTAGTATGCTACCTAAGAAGATCTCTGTGTTTTCAAGGGATATTGTGAAATTCCAAAAAAATTCTCAAAGCAAAATTTTAATTCCCTTTTATTAAAAAAAAAATCAAATATAACATCACTTATTTGCTCAAAAAAAGTTTATTAGGGCCTATTTTATGCCAGACACAAATAATATGTAAACAGAAATGAAACAGCCCTTGTCATTAAGATTACATTCGGTTTGGGGGAGAAAGGTGAAAACTGATAAACAAAAAAATATATATCCAAAATAAATAAAACACAATTTCCAGAGGTAGGTGGAGGTCATCAAGATAGGGCTTGTGTAGGGCATGTCATTGGAGCTAAACTTGGAAAGAAGTTTGAAGCTACAGTGAGTGGCTTTTAGCCATCGAAGGCAGGCCTCCTGTACACAGACACAAAGACGAGATGGAATGTCAAATCAAGTCACCTAGCTGACAGGTAGAGAGCCAGAAGGAGAGTAATGTGCATTAGGATGACGGAGGAGTTGGGATGGAGTTCTGGAGGCATTGGAGACCCACTGGACCTTTTTGAGCAGGGGGGTAACATGGTCAGAGCTATGTTTTAGGAATATGATTAGGGAGGAGACTGGAAGTAAGGAGACCAGTTAGGAAGCTATTGAAATGGTCCTAGTGAGAGGTAAGGAAGACCACAGCTGGGGTGGTTGTGGTGTGTGGAGAGAAAGGGACAAATGCAAGCAGTTCTGTGTTGCTACAATCAATAGGACTTGGCCCTTAATTGAATATGAGCAGTGAAAATGAGAGAAGTGTTAAGAATGGTACCATGCTTATAAAACTAGCTGACTGGAAAAGAGAATTTATGAAATTAAGCAATGATTGTGTGTTAAAAGCGCAGAAACCACTGGAAGTCATTGACATATAAATGCTAGAGAATGAAGCAATGATCAGGATAGGTCTTGTTATTTAAATATAATTAAGAAAAATCAAGACCGTCATATTTGGAATTGCCATATAGACGTTTCACTAGTGTTATTTGAAAAATAACACATACACTGGTGGGTATAAAGCTAAATGAAGTCACAGCCCTTGCATTCAGGAAGCTAAGACCCTAGTAAGGAGACATAATACCAATAGAAAGAACTATAATAGTAGTATAAATAAAATGTGATTTTTGCCAGATGGAAAAAAAATGGAAAAATTGTTATGCCATATTGGAGAAGTGGAGAAAAAAGCCTCTGCAGAGATTGTTTGACTTGACCTTGGAAGAGCTAGAAGTATTCCAATAAATAGCTATAGAAAGGAAGTCTATTCAAGTCAAATCAATAAGCATTAATTCTGTGCTAACTATGTGCCAGTCGCAGGTGTAGGGAACACCTTGAACAAAGGGAGGGGCACATCTAGTGAACCATTAGTAGCTCAGTTTTACTGGAGCAAAGCCAGTATAGAAGTGCAGAGGGAAAGACTAGAGAGGTCTGGTGGGGCCAGGTCGTGTAGGGTCTTGAATGCCAGGTTATAGCACTTGGACCTTTTTTTAATAAACAATGGAGAACCATTGAAAGTTTTTAAGCAGGGCAGATGATGTCATTAGAAATGGAAGGAATGGGAACAAACATGAAGAACCAACTATGTGCCTAGCACTGTGCTAAAGTCTTTACTAATATTATCTCATTTAAGCAGGTCTTTAAAAAGATTTTACAGCCAGCGGTATGTGGGACTGTTCAAGTCAGAAACCGATTTAGGTAGCTTTTGGAATTAATTTGTTCAGCACATGTTTATTAAGTACCTACATAACTAATCGACTCAACAATGATAATACTATGTGCCAGGCACTTATAGTACCAAACTATTTTACTATCAAATGAGATGATATTTGCAAAGTACTTAGCACAGTACCTGGCACATAGTAGGTACTATATAAATGTCTATTCCCTTCCCACTAGCTACAGTATAGTGTTTATACTATATAATTTAATGCTGTTAAAATTTTAACGTAAATTAAAATTTTTCATAGATAAAATGCATAAGTAGTAGTCTAACTCAAGTGACTCACAGTCCACAAGCCATGGTGTTATCAGTTGTTCTTGTCGAGCATAGTTCTCCTTGTCCATGACTCTATAACTGACTCCTGAACTGGAGTCAAGAAAAAGTTTCCTCTCTGAATCCAAATTTCAATTTAGACTGGAATTCTGGGGTTGGATTGCCAAACCAGAATGTTATAGTTTCCTAGATTAGGCTTGAAGTTTTGCTATATTAAGTGACTTCTGGTTCAGGCATACTGCCAAGACATCAGGCATCTATGAATCACTTTTTCTCCATCCTTTTCCAATAAGTTACCTCTAGGTCACTAATAAGATCTAGGTCAGTAGTATATTTGAGGTAATTCAGGACCCTTTTGTCTTTAGCAGTCCTGCAGAATACAGACCTTCTATATGGTTATGCTTTTTGACCCCCTTCCTAACTGAATATCCAGAGTACTACATGTATATGCACAGTGTTTAACGTTTAAGAAACTTCAAAATAAAAATGTATCAATTTAAACCTGTTATATACAAATCAGACATTATTAAAAGCAATCAAGTATAAAATGAAAGGAGAATGCTTTACTATCAAACCTAGAAGACATAGTTGTAAAGTATTTATTAAGTTGCCATCAGTTAAAGATTCTCTGTCTTATTTTCAGAAGGAACAAAATGAAAAAGTAGAAGATTCAAGTAAAAAGGAATTACAGGAAAAGGAATCAGTCATTGAAGAGTTAAAAACAAAAATAATAGAAGAAGAAAGAAACTCACTTGAGCTGAAGGATAAGCTATCAGCTACTGATAAATTGCTGGGGGAATTCAAAGAACAGATTATAGAAAAGAACCAAGAAATAAATAATATAAGACTAGAATTAACTAATTCTAAACAAAAAGAAAGACAGTGTTCTGATGAAATAAAACAACTAATGGGGACTGTTGAAGAACTTCAGAAGAAAAATCATAAGGACAGCCAATTTGAAGCTGATATGGTGCAAAGAATGGAACAAGAAACTCAAAGAAAATTGGAGCAACTCCGGGCAGAGTTGGACGAAATGTATGGGCAGCAGATTGTGCAGATGAAACAAGAGTTAATAAAACAGCATGTGTTACAGATAGATGAACTTAATGCACGACATAAAGGAGAACTAGAAAATACTTTAAAATCATGTCCAAATATTCCAATAAATGAAAATCAGATACAGTTAATGAATATGGCAATTACTGAATTGAATTTAAAACTTCAAGATGCTAATTCTCAAAGGGAAAAAATAAAAGAAGAATTAGAAGTAATTTCAGAAGAAAAGTCTGCTTTACAGAGACAGCTTGAAGACCTTTTTGAAGAATTAAGCTTTTCCAGGGACCAGGTTCAGAGAGCTAGACAGACAGTAGTTGAGCAGGAAGGTAAACTCAATGAAGCATACAAATTGCTTAGCAGTGTGGAAGATTTGAAAGCCCAGATTGTGTCTGCATCTGAATCCAGGAAGGAGCTAGAATTAAAACATGAGGCTGAAGTTACCAATTACAAGATAAAGCTTGAAATGCTAGAGAAAGAAAAGAATGCTGTGTTAGACAGAATGGCGGAATCTCAAGAAGCGGAATTGGAAAGACTGAGAACTCAGCTGCTCTTCAGTCACGAAGAGGAGCTCTCTAAACTCCGAGAAGACTTAGAAATTGAACATGAAATAAATGTAGAAAAACTTAAAGATAACTTAGGTATTCACTATAAACAGCAAATAGAGGAATTACATAATGAAATGAGTCAAAAGATAGAGGCCATGCAATTTGAAAAGGACAATTTAATAACTAAGCAGAATCAGTTACTTTTAGAAATTTCAAAGCTGAAAGATTTACAGCAATCTCTTGTAAATTCAAAATCAGAAGAGATGACCCTTCAAATCAGTGAACTTCAGAAAGAGATTGAAGTACTCAGACAGGAAGAAAAGGAAAAGGGCACGCTTGAGCAAGAAGTACAAGAGTTACAACTTAAAACTGAATTTTTGGAGAAGCAAATAAAAGAGAAAGAAGATGACCTTCAAGAAAAATTTACACAACTTGAAACTGAGAATACCGTTCTTAAAAATGAAAAGAAAGCTCTGGAAGACATGCTGAAAATATATTCTCCTATTAGCAAAGAAGAAAGCTTGATTTTTGTAGATTCAGTTAAGCCCAAATCTGAAGACTGTGACTGGCAAAAAAAAATTGATGTACTCCTAGAAGAAAATGAGAGGCTCACCAAGCAATGCACTCAGCTAAATGAAGAGATCGAGAAACAAAGGAACACATATTCATTTGCTGAAAAAAATTTTGAGGTTAACTATCAGGAGTTACGAGAAGAATATGCTTGTCTTCTGAAGGTAAAAGCTGATTTAGAGGACAGTAAAAGCAAGCAGGAAGTAGAATATCAAATGAAGCTGAAGGCTCTCACTGATGAGCTTTATCATTTACAGAAAAGTAAGCCAGTTCTAGTGAAAACTAAAAGTGCAGATTGTGAAAGCTGTAAAGATGACAAGCCTTTCACAGCAGAGATTTCTGAAGTTGGTGAAGTTGTTGAGAAAGATACTACAGAACTTATGGAGAAGCTTGAGGTGACCCAGCGAGAGAAATTAGAACTCTCTGAGAGACTGTCAGATCTTTCTGAACAGTTAAAGCAGAAGCATGGTGAAATTAATCACTTAAGTGAGGAAGTTAAATCCTTAAAGCAAGAGAAAGAACAAGTTTTAAAAAGATGCAAAGAGCTAGAAATCATCGTTGGCCATAGTCGAGCAGAGCATGTGGATGAGTTAAAACTTAAGCCGTGCAGTTTTAAAGATGGTATTCAAACAGAGGGAAGTAAAGATTCTGAAAGTCCTGCATTTAAAATACATGAAGATTTTAGTGAAGGGGCACAGATCATAGAGGAAAATAAAGTTTCATTTGAAGATGAGACTGTTAAAAAAGAAATCAATCAAGAACTGGGGAAACCTGAAAAGTATTCACTTTTGGATCACGTGGACTCTGTGACTGAGCAGTTGGCTGATGAGTCGTCATCATCATCTTTGGCCATTGCACAGAGTGAAAATGACCAGCTTCGGCAGGAGCTCAGTATTCTGAAATCTGAACAGGTTTGTTGACTGATTCGTGTGTGATTAAGATAGAAGACGGAAAAACCTCTTACTTAGAAAGTATTTTTGTTCTTTACAAAAATATAAATGAACATTCTGAAAGGGAGAATGAAAACATTTTTCAAGTTATTCTCATTAGGGCTTGTTACTTATTTTTCAGGCAGATGTTATATAGAAAAATATTTAAAATTATCCTAATTTTCTCTAAGTGTTATGTTAGATCTGAAAAACTTTAAAACTCTGACTGTATATGAAGACAATTTATATGTTCAGATAAAGCCAGAGGAAACATTTGACAGTTTATATTTTGCCAGCTATAATACCATGAACAATAACATAATTAATGAAAATTATTATGGAATGATTTGGAAGTTATAAGTATGTGTATTATAATTAGGATGATACATGTTGCTGCCTAACTAAGATAGATTTTAAAAAAATATATTTCTAGTTAATAAGGCCACTTTATGCTGATTTAATTATGAATTTAGAAATCAAGAAGTTGATATCTGTCAACTCTTTAAATCTGTTGAATATTTGATTATTTTAGAGATCATGGCACATGATGTTTTCCTCTTACAATGCCCCAAATCACCTAAATTTGTAGAATGAAAGTTTCCTAGGAGAAAATAGCTCTATCTGAAGACCAGCTGCTTAAATGATCAGTTCTCTGACTGTTGTAGAAGTAAAACATTTTCAGCTGCCATTTAGTTCCCATCTTCTGACCATGGCTTAAAGAATGAATTGTTTTATTAAGTAGCTTAAAGGTGATAAGTAGTACAGAATGTATTACAGCAGATTATTTCACTTTCCTTCCTTGCATTCTCCTTCGACTATGTTGGTTACTCTCAGGGCTGAGCCCAAGGCCAAACCACTGAAGTTCAGAGATGTTTCTTACCACTTGTGGCCCTCAGTACATTAGAAGTTGACTTCTCTGTTTTATTGTATTATTGTATTGGGCCAGTGGATTTTCAGCTCTTTTTACCTCAATTTTATAGTCCTAATTTTCCTATTAATTAGCAGTATAACCCTGGGCAAGACATTTCACCCTTCTTGGCCTCAGTTTCCTCATCTGTAAAATAAAGACTTTATAACCTTTATGGTTTTCTAGATTTGTAAATCTGGATTTCTGTGAAATACAGTAACAGACTATTTTTATCCATTAGTATGGATAATCAAGAGTTAACTATATCCACACTGAATATCTCTACAAAGCTCCATATCAAATGATTGCATAAATTTAGTGATCATGTTTCCATTGTGTAGCTTTCTAAAGGGGAACTTGTTGTTTTATTCGGACATTTCCACATTTGATGTATGCTTAAAATTCTGTAGGTTTGCTCAATATTTAGTCAGTGTAAATGTAACCTAAAAAGTATATTTTAAAAAAGACACCCAGAAAATCTGTGGTACTTATGGCCTTGAAAATTATGAGTTGTCTTTACATCTCTTGTGCTATTATCATCTGAATTCTATATTAAAAACTTTTTAAGTGGTGATAATGGAAATAATTGGAAAGAATTAAATTGTTTTTTACCTTAGTGTTAGTGTAAAGAAATATTGCTTAACCTACAAATTGAGTTAATAGAAAATAGAAAATCAGTAAAGAAAAATAAATTCTGAGATGCAGCTGATAAGGACATTTTTTTAGGTAGTTGGACAAGAATAAATGCAGAGAAAGAATGAATGGTTGCACTTGTCATTTTAAAATACTTGCAACGTGTGTACTTTAAATTGAAGGCGGATTTGAGGCTTCAGATGGAGGCGCAGCACCTTTGCCTTTCCCTGGTTCATTCAGCTCACGTGAAGCAGGTGCGTGTCTGCATGGAGGAGGAGAGAGCAAGTGCGCTAAGCAGCCTTAGAGAGGGACTTGTTTCTGCTCATGAAGAGGAGATGAAGGAGCTTCAGAAAATACATATTTTAGAGCTACAGAATGTAAAGAGACAAGAAGCAGGTAAATTGTGGAAGCTGTTCTTATGAGTAATATCCATCCCAGTTGACATCTGAATACAATCATAAATGCTATGGGATATATACTGTAATTGTCTGTGCCCTGCCATGTCATAATTTTAACTCAGTCTTGAGGAAATCAATTAGCCATGGAATTCCAGCCCAAGGAAACCAAGACAGTCCTTGGGCTGTTGGAGAGATCAGTACTCTACTAGGAAGGCCCAGACTGATCCCTATCCCTGGGCCTGCCCAAATCCTCCCGTGGACCCTTAGACCAACCCAGTCCCCCAGAAATACAAACTTGGGACAAATTAGGAGGTAGACCTAGTGATAGGTCTTAAACTCACAGGCCTGGGCCACAGCCGCATCTGCTTTTGGGAGTGATAGCCAGGGGCTTTCCCCGATGGCATTTGCCTCCCTCTGATAACTCCCTTTTTCATAATGAAATAAAGTTTGAATAATATTTATAGCTAATCTAAGTATACTTGAGAGATCTACTTAACTTCTTATTGAGTACTTTAATATCACAATTTAATAGGACCATATTAAGTATAAGAGGCAGCCTTGTGAAGGGCAGAGGTGTCAGGCCCATGGTCTGTGGGCTGCATGTGGCCCACCAGACTTCTGAATGTGGCCTGAACCAGGTTTAAATGTAATTGAGAAATATTTAACAAAATAGATAAAAATACAATAAAACACAACTAAAATTACATTTTAAGACTTGAGTTAGTAGGTGACCCACAGGGATCCTTCTGTATGGATTAACAACCCCCATTTCCGTGTGAGTTTGACACCATTGGTGATGTGCATAGAGAGTCAAGGAGACGTGGGTTTAAGTCCTGCCTCAGTCACCTGCTGCTTTGATCTTGGTGGGTAAATGAAGGAGGTTGACCTCGTTGCCCTTCCTGTTGGGTCCTGTGAGGGCCTGTGATCCTGGGAAGACTCTTGACTTCCAGAAAAGGTGCCATTCTGCACTGGTAGAGGAATTTCCTCACCAAGAACTCCCCATATCAATGAAATTACAAGTCTGGTCAAAAAAATGCATTCATTATACGTAACATATTTACCATGCACCAGGGCTTCTGGTATCCTCCAACTCTATCAGTTTAACAGGGGCAAAACTGAGTACCTAAGAAACTGGTTTGTTAGATAACCTGTTCATCAAAAATTAGAAGAAAACTTTGAATATAATAAATTTGAAGTAAGTTTTATTACAGCATGGGTAGTTATACCAGAAGATTAAAATATTTCAGGTAAAATAAATGCTAAATAGCTGTATTTCAACATACAAGTTAACAGGTATAATACATTATCTATTTTAATAGATGGTGAAGGGATGTCTTTAGAGATGCTTATGGAGAAACTCCACAAGGCAGTGATTAAGGAATGCTCTTGTTTTAATCAGGTAAGATATTAATTTAAAAATGTTTTTTGGGAAAGAAACTCTATGTTTAGAATTGCAGATTTGATAAAATTATCCCTCCCAATTTTCCATACAATGGTACCTTGTATCGGACTCTTTCATACAGTAGAGCATTAGTAAACATTTTTTTTCTTTTACTTTAATGCACAATTTTGGTTTATTCTTTCTCAACAGGCGCTAAGACCAGAAAGTGATACATCTTCAGGAGTAGAGGGAGAATGGGGAAAGATAATACAAACCTATAGATAACACAGGAGCGCTTCTGTTATCATCAGAGACAAATGCAACCACAGATCCACACCTGCTTAGACTCTCTCCCCTCTGGGCTTGTTGTTGTTTTAGCCCTGCTACTGAGAGAACCAAGAAGGTGTAGAGGAAAGCCCAAGGCCCTAGTGGGTAATGCATAAACTGGCTTTCCTTTTTTCAGTAACATCACAACTATTCTGAATCCCATTTCCCAAACTGTCCATGTATGTGAGACACATGGTTTAATAGAAGGATCTGACTTTGATAGAAAAGATCTGACTTGTCCACTTAGCTCTGTTACCTTGTGCAGATAACTTTACCTCCCTCTGTGTTCTCAGTTTCTGTGTATATAATAAGAATAGTATTAGATCATATTTCTAGAGTGTGTTCTGGTTTAAAGGACTTTTCCGTACTCCTGAATTAGGGAGTGTAAGTTTCATCCCCATTTTACCAGTAACAGTCTCAGATTAGGTCTCATACACCTAGGTTATGCGGGGGTAGGCTTGGAACCCAGGCCTTCATTCTCCAAATCTTCTGTTCTTTTCACTCATCTGTAAAATGAGTATGACAACATCAGTGTGTTTGCAAGGCTCTTAAGAAGATCAGATGGGAGAAAGAATGTGGAGTGCTTTACTAGAACTGTCGAAAGTGCTCTGCCGTCCTCAGTGAGGAGGGGGAGGACGCCAGCAGTGATGCTTCCTCCTCTGAGAAACTGCTGGAGCTCTGACATTCTCTCCACTTCCAGAATTCTACATACTCCCTTGGGAGCCAGGAAGAATATTTGGCAGTCAAAGTTGAACAACAATAACAAAAAAAATCACATTGAATTATTTTAGTTTTTAAGCAAATCTGTATGAAAGAACATTCATTGATAAGAGCTATGTGTAGCTAACTATTTTTATTAAGAACATTACAACCAGCCGTAGATTGTTCATTTTAAATGTTTTAGGGAACTTCCACTAGACCTTTAGAAGAAATGTGGGGGATATCTTAATTTAGATTTATTAACAAAACTGTACTTTTCACTTATTTATCAATGGATGCTGTTTGACATAGATTTATATAGATGTGAAAATCATACTGCCATTTGTAAATTTTTTGTTTGATCTCTCAGAGCAATTAGCCAAGTTAATAACACATGGAATGCTTCTGATGTTTTTGTGCAAGCCACAAAAGCAACTCTTAAACATAAGGGGAAAGATGTATAGAGTGTAACGTTCTACTTGTTGGATCACTAATCCTGTAGGTAATCATCTCTGATGTTTCAGGGTTGTCATTCCGTGCTGTTTCTGTTTGGTAATAGGTGTAATGTCAGGGTAGGCTGTAAGCTAGGAGATGGATTAAAATTCAAGGTGAATCTCGTCATTAAAAGGATGTAGGGATTATCCAAGGTATAACATTTAAAGAAAAAATCCAAATTGAAATATTTATTCAAACAAAAATCTTGAGAAGGAAATTCACTTTGTTCAACAGAAAATATTTCAGTCTCATAGTAAGAAGAATTTTATATTTCCTTACCTAACATTCTACATTAAATGTTATTGAGGGAAATTTTGCTTGAATATTCTGTTTGCAATTTCACATAATGATGACTGGATTTTGCATCACTAAATAAGTTATATTTTTCTTTGTTTTCCTTTTGCTTTCCTCTATCCTTTAAACTGTTAGGTATCTCTGCTAATGCAATTTTGAATGATTTGTTTTAGCTGAAATAATAATTTGCAGCCATACAATTTTATTTAATTTTGGTGTCAACAGTCTTTGTGCAACATCCTTGGTACGTGTAACACAGCTCCTTTCAAATATGAAGTAAAAGTAAAAGGAGAAATTCCTGATATTTATTCCTCTGAAGTTCAAGAAGATAGCCCAGAATTGCAAAATTGCACATTTGAAGTTCAAGGTAATGCTAAAAATCTTTCAAAAGGTGTCTCTACTGTCAAATATAACATTCTAACTATCAACACTTTATATTATAAACCTTAATGTAAAGTGATTATCACTCAGCAAATTTCATTTTGTAATTGGAATATAATGTGAATTTTATATTAAGTTTTGTTTCCATAGTTTTTACTCACTAATGAGGAGTGGTATTTTACAACTCTTTGAGAAATAGAAATGTATGATTAATTGATGTAAAGATGAATTTTTCCATTATGGCATGGACATATAACCTGCACTACTGTCTGAATACGAAAATTGAGTAAAATACCAGAAAGTGTAATATTGGATTTAATTATGTATTTAGAATTGAAAAGGCACAGTATGACTTTGAAATCCCTTAGTTATAATATCTTTAAAAGGTTATGAAATCAGGACTTTTACCGTGAACGTTATTAAATTTTTTTCCTCTGTAAATAAAGTTTCACTTTCCAGAATAGGAACCTGAAGTGATTGCCACTAAAAATGAAGGATTTCAAGATTAAAGAATTTCAAAGTAAAATATTTCAAGATTACCTGTTTTTCAAAATGTTAGGCAGGAATTAAAATACATCTATAATAGTTTCTGGAAGTATTTTTCCAATAGCTTAATAGCATCTTTTCCTTCCTACTCTTCACTTCTCCCACTCCCCCAAAAAATGTTAGTAAAGAGGTAAAAAGTTTGCCTTTGGGCAGACTTTCACTACTGTACAGAGAGTACAGTCATTCATCATGTAGTATAGTTGCATAAAGCTAAATTGTAACTTTTAAAAGATAATAGGTAGTTAGAAAGGTTTTGAAAACCTGCTCCCGTAACACATATGCCTCATGTCTGTCATCAGAGAACCACCCAAAGTTGGGAGGGGCTCATCACTACAAGATTGCTCACCACATATGAATTTTTTCAACCATAATAATTAGTGAAAATTATCTGCTATGTTGTGAAAAGTTGTCATCAGTGTTAATGGAAAGAATACTCACACTGATAAAATCATGATTACTTAAGGTCAATTTATAAAATACAAGTTATTCCTTCGTAATACTGTGAAACTATTAAAATTACATGGGGAAATAAGCTATGAATTAAAAGTTTTCTTCTCAAAAGCAGATCAATGGGAAAAAGGGACTGTTTTTTAAATTGTTAAAAATTAGCTAAACATAGTCATAATGTTAAGTGACAATAGACCAAGTGAACAGCAAATTATATTGTAAAAATACACACCATAAAAACTTCTAAGCCTCTACTCCTTCCTTTTCCACTATCTTCTTAATTCCGTCTTTTATTCTTTCATTCTTTGTGTGGATGCATCTCTTTTTCCCAGTTGCTCTATTTATCATTGTGTGTCCATCTTTGATTTTCTGAGTATGTATTTACCTCTAAGTCTTTCTCTACTATGTTAAACATATGATCTGTCCCTTTGTCATTTTCTGTACGTGGTTCTGTTTCTGTATTTCTTTATCATTGTCCATTTCTCTGTCATTGTGTCTTTCCTGTCCCTACTCTCTTTCCCTTAACTCACCATGTAGAAATGAGTGTTTTTTTAAACATTTCTTGTATTTTTAATCCAGAGCCCAGAGCTGAAGGTTCTGAATTCACACAGACTGGGTTCAGTTTTAGTGGGATCCCCCAAATCCATTTGTTTGGCTTTTGCCCTCACTTAAGATTTCCCCTGAGAAATTTAGACTACATCTTTTTCTAGGTGTCCACAGAAAAGGTGAAAGCCCCCAGGGTTGCCATGCAAACTTTCAGGGTAACAATCTCTTAAGTAAATACAAGACAGGCTTTTTGTTTCACTTAATAGAAAACATTGATAGTTCCTGTCCTCCAGGAGCTTACCTTCGATCAGAGGAAGCAACATGCACACATATAACATATATACAGGTATGTATGTTTATTTGCATACACATAACTGCATGGGTATTTATACACACATGTATACACGTATTTGTGTGTGTTTATGCTCAGATATAGGTATATGCAAATATAGATATATATGTGTTTGTGTGCACCTATTTTATGTAAATGCAAATTACACAGAGTAAATCCAAGGTCATTTTGGTGAGGAGGCACCAGCAGCTGGATGGGTCAGAAAAGGCTCGTTGTAGGAGATGAAACTTGCAACTGAGCTTTGAAGGAAACAGAGGTGAGGAGAGCACCCATTCTGTGGGGGATGGCCAGTGCAGAGGCATGGAGCTGGGCTATCATCTGTCACGTGTAAAGGAGAGCCTGGGAAGGTGGTTTGGAGCCAGGTTGTGAAGAGCATTAAAGGCCAGACAGGAATTTGTGTTTGATTGTGAAGGAATAGCAAACCACTGAATTGAGAGAGCAGAGGAAAGACCTGGGTAGACCACACTTTAAAAATTTCTTATTTTTCTTTTAAAGTGTCACTAAAATGAAACCTACTGTGTTTCTCTGTAGAAGAATGACAATAAAGACAAAAAGAAAACAACCTTAAATTCATTTACCTTTTCCTTGATTTGTTAAAAAATGGGTCAGCGGTTCATACCTGAGAAATTGCTTCCTCCCTCTTGCAGAACAACTGTAGTTGTAGGAGTGATGAACAAAATATTTACAGATAAAAACTAGTAGCCAATAAAATGAAAATAATATATAATATTGGTACCTTGAGAGCACATTTTTTGTAGGGAAAGATTTAAAATACTCATTTCTTCTTAAATATATTTATTCATTATAAAGAGTTTATCTCAGTATGACTATCTTCAGTTTATAATTTATGAATATTGCTTTTCAGACTTTTTTCCATGGAGTAATTTGATAATTGCCAAATTGATTTTAAAACTATATTTTCTTTACAATCTAGACTTGCAATCAAATCTGCAATCTCTTATTAACAAAATAGCAGAAGAATGCAACAAGCTGTTGGCACTTCAATCACAAATAACTAAGGATTGTGAAAAGGTAGGTATTATGGACAAACATTGGATTAAATGAAAAAAAAATACTTTCTTGTTCAGGATTCTTTAAATTCCCAGATTTTGGGTGTAGATTTTTTTGATTAATTAGCAACTTTTTAAAAACTAAAGCTTAGGTGACATGGAATGAGAAAAATATGCTAGAAGAGAAATTCACAAAAGTGAAATAAATATATAGCAGAGAACTCATATGACCTGGCTGGAGGAATTTTGAACTATATGAGCTGAGCTATATGCTATCTAGTAGCTCCTGTCTAGAATTTTGACAGCTCTGATATAGTAGGATATCAAACTTCAAGCAACTGCATCCATTTGCATGTCTTTTACACAAGCATTTATAATGATCAGTTTTTTCTTGCATTATTCTCCTGAAAGGTCTATTGTAGGTTAATTCAGTGGATTAGAACCTAGTGTTAATGTAGCCAAACTTGTAAGCTTTATCTCTTTATGGGCTAACAAGACCATGGACTTCAATTTAGACCAGAATCAGGTGTTTTGAAAATCTATTCAAAAAGTAATAGGTGACACAACACAAACTATCACCACTCCTGAAAACAAACAATTCCTAGCCGCCTTCTTATTTCTTGGAGTCAGTAATGTCATTTTCATTTCATCTCTGTGGATATATTTGTATTTTTGTAGACAAGTCCAAAAAGACCACAGTGCTTGACTATTTGCGGCAGATTTTGATGTTCAAAAGCAAATTAAGTCTATTCTCTAGATTTCTAAATGTCTCTGAATCTGACAGATGGAAGAAGTCTAGCTTTTCAGGTTTGGGGGCTGGACTTTGGCTGCAGTTCAGTTCATTCATTATTCTTTCATTCAGTCATTAAATATGTTGAGTGCCTTCTGTGTGTCTAGCACTGGAGTTGAAACAAAAGAAATAGATGGCATAGTAATTGTCCTGCATTAGTTTGCAGAGTACTTGGAAGTGGGAAATGACATGTATAAAACTTCCAGACAGGATATGATTTGGTGCCAAAATGGATGATATAGACAAGTAAGTACTATAGGAATTAACACAAGTGGTACTGTGCTAAGCCATAGGTATACAAAAAAAGGCTAAGATCTAATCTCAGCCATCTAGGAGCTGCCATTCTAAAGAGGGAAAAAATATACAAATAATATACATATAATAATATACAAATAATATACATATAAGATACGTATAGTCAGAATGGAAAGTAATCTCAGAGGAAAGGCTTAAGAATTGGAAGAGCCTGGGAAAGGCCACCTGAAGAAGGTGAAATTTGAGCTGAGTACTGAGGGAAGCCAGGAGGCAGAGGTGAGGAGGGAGAGCCCCCCAGGTATGGGGGATAGCCAGCGAAAAGGCACAGAATTGGGGGATGAGGTGTCAAGTACAAGGAATTGCAAGAAGGCCATGGTGTCTGGATCGTCGAGTATGTGGAGGGGAGTCGTGTAATAAGAGTGGACAAGTAGGAAGGAACCAGGCTATGAAGAGCTTTAAAGTCACGCAGGTAGTCAGCATCAGTGGCAGGATATAAACCTAGGTCTTCTGAGTACAGAGCCAGTGTAACTCTTTCTTCTGTGTTGCCTTGTCTCCAGGAGCAGAGAAAGAAGAAAATCAGTCTCCTAGCTAAGGTGCACCGAAAATTAACTGGAACATCTCATTAGAGCTTTTAGAAATACTAGAGAATGTGTATCTAGGTTTTTTTGTAGCGGTTAACTAATGAATTAGCTTTTGATCATAGGACAGAAAATCCAAAAAGTAATAATAAATCTTGTATTAATGCGTGAGTATCAGTGAATATTTTTTTCTCTTACTGTTTTCAATAGATTCAAGAACAACAGGCAGAAAATGCAAAACTTGAATTTACAAAAGAGGAGGAAATGACTAATCTCAAGACAATGAAAGCGAAGTGTTTCTCAGTCTCTTCTCAGACAAAAGATACTGGTAAATTTTGAATTTATAAATATTTTTTGTTTTTGTTTTTTTATAAAATATGTAATCAACACTTGACCTAATTAGGTTAAAATAGAGATAAATTGCTTTCAATATAAATAGAGACCATTGCTACTATAAGTTTAGATGAAATATTCTTGGTCTATGTACTACTAATGTTTACTTGTTTACATCAGTCAATATTTTTACCTTTAATCCAATATTAACACCTAAAAATAATTTTCACTTTTAAAGTGAGAGAAAAATGAATATTCTATGCAAAAAAAAATTGTGGTGATTACAGTTAGAAATTTGAATTAAAATTTAGTAGTGATAATGTGTTCCATGTGTATTAATTCCATACATTGTGTCAAAATGTTGAAGAATTCTTAGCCCTTATTTTTCTTGGATTCAGATGTGATAGGTAGTTTGCCTCCTTTAGAAGGCATGGAAAAATTGAAAAATCAGCTTGAAGCACAAGATACTCAAGAGGAAGGACACCTTCCGTGTAATTTCCAGCCACAGTTGAAAGAGATTGGAGTAAAGGACACTCCAGAGAACCTCCATTTGCAAGAGGAGCTTCAGCTGGTTAAAGACCCCATTCTTCAGCCAAGGTATTTCTAGTCCAATATTTCATCAAATAATACTCGTCACCCAGCAAAAGCCACAAAGACAGACAACTTAAATACAAACCAGCAGAAAGTTCTTGAAAAGTGGTGTAATAAGGCAGGTAGATTTAGTGAAAAGTCTGTCTACATCTTTTTATTTGGCCAAAAGTCATTATAAACTAAAAGTATCTGATGTTAAGAAGTTGCTGATATTTTTGCTTTACAAAGATGCTGATTATTATAGGTGTGCTAGCAGAGTTCAGTCAGGTAGCATGCATTTACTGAGCCCTGTTCTGGGCGCTGTAGAGAAATCGAGAAGTTGCTTAAGGTCTGTAATCTGTTTGTCCGGTGTAGATTTAAGTTCAGCTACGTGACGGGACAGCCAGTTATGCTCAGCCCTGGTCATTCTGCCTTCATAACATCCTTGTCACTTATTCTGTCCTTCCTGTGCCCGTTGCCCCTACCCTTTCTCATTACGCTCCAGGATCGGTATTGTAAAAGCTGCATCTTCCTTTCTCTCCTCTCTGGCCCTTTGCAGTCAGTCTTCCACCCTGCTGTCAGGACAGTCATGTCATTTCTCTGCTCAGAGATCTCCAGCAGCTCCCTCTTGCCCTCTGAGTACAGTTCAGAGCCCTTGCCTATCAAGGTATTTCCCAATCTGGAACCACCTTTCTTTTCTGGCCTTTCATACCACTTTCCTTCCTGTTCCTCACCCCCATTCTACATTTCCACAGAAACATCCTCCCCGAGTTCACCTGAAGGAGCCCCGGGCTTTCTCCATCTGTAGGCCTTCCTATACGTGTAGTGATTCCCTTTCCCTTCCTTGCCTCTGGAATTCCTCCCCATGTTTCAGAGGCTGTGTCAGGTCCATGTCTAAAGTCCAATCTCCTTCATGAATTCTTCCCTTACCTCTCTTTTGGGGAATGACTCAAGAGTCTCTTGCCCTTCTACTTTGTCAGTTGCTTAGCTCTGAAACATTCTCATCATCCGTTTTCTTGACCCTAATACTTTGAGTCCTGCACATATGTGGAGGAAGCCACAGACCCACTTGGACTGGGCCCTTCACTACACATTCCTATCCTCCGATTTCAGGGGGGCCCTCCCTCACTGCTGTGCAGCGACCCTTTTTGACAGGTGTTTTTCCCATCCTTTCCTGGGCCATCTAGGAACTTGCCCCTTCTCTTATTCCTGTCGTTCTCTCATCTCCAGGCTCTGCTTATCTTAACTTCCCAACTGCCTAATAGGTCTTTAATTCTCTTCTGTCCTTAAAACATTTTAATTGTCTGATTTTTCTTGCTTTTCACTACCATCCACACTCATTCTTATCGCTCATTCATTTCTCTACTTCTTGTAAACTGGCCTCCACCTGTTCCACTGGACTGAACCTATTCTTTTAAAAGTTATTGATTGACTATTAAAATGAAGGCTCTGCAATAGTAGAGTCTGTTTCATTTTAACCTTACATATACAGCACCAAGCAAAATATCTGACTCAGAGGAGGCATTTAATAACACTTGTTCATTAAGTTAGGGGAGACCTGTGTGTGCTTTAAAATAGGAGAGTATGACTGTGGAAAGAGAAAGAGTAAAGATGCTAGGAAGAGAGGGAGAGAAATTTTCAAGTAAAAGCATGGAAAAGTCAGGAAAGGAGTATGTTCCAGTTCACAAGTAGTAGAGTAACTTATAAAAAATGATTTTTTTTTGGATTTTTATTTTTGAGGACTAACTTTTGAGAAGAGAAATACTTCTTTGACTATGACTGTAGAGAGGGATGAGGGCATGAATTTTTTCAAATGGCATGTTGAGGTGAAGAGAGGTGTGAAAGATGTGTTAGTATAATAGTAATAATAAGTTTTCTATAGCATTTTATAGTTTCTGAAGCACTTTGAGTAAGATGGGATGGGCCTGCACTCCCTCCATGCTGCAGGTCAACATCTCTGGATCTGTAGAGTCTTAGAGAATTCCCTGCCGAACTCAGAAAACATGCCCAGGCTTACAGAGGTTAACACGTGTCAGAAGCAGTACTTGAGCCCATTTTCCTTGGCTCTGAGGCCAGCTCAGCCCAACTATGCCACACTACTTCTTATAGTTGAGAGAAGAGAGGCTTTAAAAAGTGTTTAAATTCCGAATAATGACTCCATATTAAAGAAATTTCATATAATTATTTGGTTTCTCAGAGAAGACATAACTTTGGGATCTACTGCCTATTTCTGCCATCTTATTCTGTTAAAAACCCCTGTTATTACAAGGCAAGGATGGGACTATTTTGTAGCAGAATAATGACCTATCGGATAGGGCCCTGAACTTGTATTTAGGAAGACCTAGGTTCAAGGCCTGCCTCATACAATTATAGATGTGTGCCTTTGGGCTAGCCATTTAAGCTATCTGTGCTTCAGTTTCTTCTGTTAAATAATGGGGTTGGATGCTGATGGCTTCTATGATCCCTTCCAGTTCTAAATCTGTGATCCTATGAATAAGAGAAGCTTAGAGGAAAGAGAAGAGGATGAGCAGGAGAAGATAATACAACATTCCTAAGAGCATTATACAAAATGTGAAAGTGGATGAAAACATGTTCCGAATCACTAATAATAAGAGAACTGCATTATTTCTGAGGGTTTACCTGACAACCCTACAAATTGGCAGATATGAAAAAATAATAGTAACAAATGTTGAAGGAGCTGTGGAAAGTCAGGCACTCTGGGACATTGTTGATAAAATTGTGAATTAGTTCAACTGCTTCCTATGTCATGCAGTCTGGAATTGTGCAAGAAAGTGGCCATAACATTCATACCGTTTGACCTATTACTGGGCATATACCCCGTGAGGGAAAAAAGGCAGAAACAAAGGTCCCCAAAATATTCACAGCAGTACTTTCTCTGATAATAAAGAACTGGAAAAAGAGTAAATACCCATTGAGGGATGACTGAACAAACTGGAAATGAATCTAATTGAATTTTAGTGTGTGTGAAGCAGTGGTGAAAATGAAGGCTTCAGAAAAACATAGAAAGATTTTTGTATGGCTTGACAAGAGTGAGATAAGCAGAACCCTGTAGAAAGAGTTCTCTGCCAATGTTAATAGGAAGGAAGCTGAGTCCATAATGGTCCAAAAGAATGGGTAATGAACCATACCCCTTTCCTCATCGTAAGAGAACCTTGGGAAATAGGGCTGAGTCTTGTATACATTGTCAGAAGATCACAGGATCATGGAGCTTGAGCTGGAAGGAATCTCAGACTACATCTCTATGTAGTCCAACCCCTCTGAACTATAGGCCCAGGAAGGTTAATTGTCCAAGGTCGCATGTCACACAGATAATCAGACGTGGAATTGGAACACCTAGGTCTTTGGACTCCAGAGCCTCTGCTCTTTCTGCTATACCACAGCTCGGTTTTTCTTTATTAAAATGGAGGTTCACTTACTCTAGGAGATCGGGGGAGGGAGGATTAGAGGAGAAGCAGCACAGAGAGAAGACAGGCATTCCCTGAAGTGATTATGATATAAAAACAAGAAGTGGCAATAAAATTTAATTTTAAAAGAAAAGCCAACAGAAAGGGAAGTGACAATGGGAAATTTAAGTGGCTAAAAGAAAATCAGAATGCTAATTTATTTTCTCTGTTTCCTCTTTATATTCCCTCAGTTTTATGACCCAAATAAACATTTTTTAAAAGAATCTGTAAAACTGGATAGAATCCTAGTATACTATATTTAAAATGCTTTGTTAATAACTGGTATTTCATAGCTTTCTCTTTTTTACCTGCTGAATTAGGCAAAACCAGCATTAAATGCAAATTAATTTTATATTCATCTTTTAGTGATTTCTTAATTATTTTCATGTATCTGTTTTTCATGTTTTTTAGATTTTCAAGCTAAATAATCTAAAATACCATCATTTTGATCCATTTTTTCTCATTTGTATTATAGCTCATTCACTGAATCACTGACAAATATTAATCAGGTTGTGCTGAAAACAAAGTATATCGAAAGTTGTCTTCAAAAGACTGAAGATGGTTCAGCAAAGGTATTATATTTTTACTGTCATCTGATTTGAGTACTTTTAAAGTCATTTACTTTCTGGCCTATGGGTTATTGTAATTTCAGGGAAATTAAATTTCATCAATGTGGGAACTTTAACTACTGACAAAGTTTGCATCTCTTCTCTAACGTAATAATTGGTCTTTGAGAGTTGCTGTAGTCTAAGAAATGTTCACTTAAAAATGAGCATGACAGAGAAATAAATATAGTGGTTTCATAATTCATGATGCATCTATTGATGAGAAAACTTTTTTACTTAGTTCATGCTAAAGATGTGGAAGAATTTATGACTAAAGAAATTGGAAGATATTTTACTGGTGCACAAGAAGATCTAAATAAATTATGTTCTTTATTTTACACATCCTCAAAGTTAGTTCTAGCTGCAGGTATATCAGGTTGTACACCTAAGGCAAATATTGCCTTTCCACTCACTTCTCAAAGCCAAATCCAGGCATCCCTGAACTTCAGAAACCCCAATGACTTCTACAGTAGATCAGATCAGATTGAAGATAGGTCTTAGGGTTTCCCCAAATGAAAATTGCTTTCACTAAAAAAAATGCTCATCTCCTCAAATGGACCTCAGAACCGATAAGGTCCTAAAACGTATATGTTCGGAGAAGGACGAAAATCAGCCAGATTTTGTGGTGATATTAATAATCAAAGCATATTCTTTGGCAGTCAAGATTTATGTTCTTAGGCCTAGTCTTAAACAGGATCATTTTCCAAGGCTAGAAGGAAGACTATCCAGTACTTTGTTAGACTGCATTACTGATACTATTACTACATTTGATACTTGGGGAAATTAAGGCAGCTGGCATTTATTCATTCATTATGTATTTTATTAAGTACGTGGCACTTTTTGAAATATGGTTGATGTCCCCTGGAGGTGATAGACATACATATGAAACCGCTAAATAACAATACAAGGTGATATATTAAATGCCATCAAGAGACCATAATTATTATCAAAGTTAGAGAAAAGGGACACCAGTGGGGATTTATATCAGTCAGGGAGAACTTCATAGAGAAAGAGAAAGTCCCCTTTGAGGAAATGGGACTGGGTATAGACAGGATTTGGGTAACCAGAGAATAAAAGGAAGAGGAAAATGAGAAAAAATTAGGAATAGACTAAGCATGGTGGGTTCAGAGGACGGGGAAATAACCAGTCATGAATTTAACAAATACTTTTTTCTAGTACCTGCAGTGTTTAAGCCACTGTCCTGGGCACTGGGACTGCACTAACCTGACTGTCCTCTTGTCTTCTGGACTGTGCCTTAGTTCTTCTTTCTCTAAATTTCAATAAATACTTGCTGATTACTAAGCATGCGTGGATATGAAGGGCTTCAGGTGACATGTTAAGGAATATCCTCTACCATTCATTAGGCAGTGACTAGAGGTTTTTGAGCTGGGTAGTGATGTGATGACAAAGGTGAGATTGATCTAGTGATATGTAGGGTGGATTGTATAGGGCAGGGGTGGAAGGAAGGAGCACAGTTAGAAAGAAGGCTCTTGTAAGTATGGAATCACTAGGGATTTAACTAGGATAGTGATGGTGGAAATGGAAGAGACAGAGACAAGAGACATTTCAAAGAAAGACAGAACATGATGACCTCACATACAGGATGAAATTAAGGGAGAAGTCAAAAGTTGACTAAGCTTTGGAACCTGTAGTCCAAAAGGAGAGCAGTGAACCTGACAGAGAGAAGGTAGTTTAGGGAAAAGCCAAACCATTTTTTGGAGGAGGTCAAGAGAAGGTGATGAGGCTCAGTGTTAGACCTTGTGAGGTTGAGATGAACCTAGGGTTTATTCTCAAGAGTCCAGCATATAGAATTTTTCAGGTATTCATGATGAAGGCCAAATTCTTCTTTTTTTGTAACAGGCAATACATAAATAAGATAAATATATGTGTCATGTTTGGTTTCTTTCTTTTAGTTTACTAATGAAACTGGAATGAAAGAAGAAATGGATATTGTTCAGTTACTGGAAAAACAGCACCAAGAAAGGTTAGAAGAAGAGGTGGCTAAGGTTAGTTTACAGTTTTTTCAACTAAAACCTTTTTATGACTTTGAAAACCCAGACTGCATACATTTTACTGAAAATGATATCATTATCAGTATCATTATCAAATTAATATTTGTTTGTTGATTGAATTTACATAAGGACCATTGCCAGATTGTCATTTTCTTACAACATATGATGCTGCTTTTAAATTTGCTTTTCTGTTGAAAATGTTAAATATCTAGTGCATCCCTTTAATACTTTGATGGAGATTACTGTGGGTACTCCCTGGAAAGGTACAGGTCACAAGCTGTCTATACTTTCTTACCCTTACGTTGCCCTTGCCCAAGTGCTCCAAGCGTGTGATGGGTCTTCCTCTTGACATTGTATGAATGCCAGTGGAGCACACAGGCAGGTCCTTGCTTATCCCATGCCTCTGCTTCTCCATTGCCTTTTCTGTGACCACATGAAGACAGCACTGGTAACATCATTAATTGGGCTGAGTTGATTTGCTATTTCTTCAGTAGTGGGGACAGATTCACACAGTGCTATTCATCTACATTGCTTTAGCACCATCAGTTTTATGGATTAGGGGTCCTGCCTGTGCCATTGAAGAATCTTAGGCAGAAATTGAGTACATAACTTTGACCTCATTATCAGAGATCTCATATCTCAAGGGACTCATGTACATGTAAACATAAACACACACATATTATCACTTAGATGATCTTGATTTTGTAGGAAAATAATTTAAACAGCGAAGTTCTGGTTGGACACTTTAGCTGATAAAATATAACCAGTCAGGGAATTATGTTCCACATTTACCCTGACCAGAACTCTGAGTAACAAATTATTTCACCAGAGATTTTACTAAGCATCTGCCATATGCAAACCACCATACTAGATAACAGGGATACAAAAGATGTTTTCTTTGCACAAGGAGCTCACATTCTGCTGTGAGATACAGCATATGCATACTTCTTTGTAGCTTTTGCCTTCTTTGAAGCATTCCAGACCTTCATTTACCATTTGCTGGCCAGCACATAACTTAAGAGAAAGAGTTACTAAGGATGTTGTCATCTCCTTAAATTCTGGTTGTAACTTCTTTCAGTATTAGACCATCTAGGTAATTGACAGTTATCAAAATAACCAAAGTCCAATAACATCTAAGTTACAGTGGGGAACCTGCAGCCTCAAGGCCGCATATGGACTTCTAGGTCCTTAAGTAAGGCCTTTTGACTGAGTCCCAAGTTTTACAGAACAAATCCTTTTAATAAGGGGATTTGTTCTGAGAAGTTTGGATTCAGTCAAAGGGCTACACTTGAGGACCTGGTGACCTTGAGGCCACGGTATAGAACATAATAGGGTGATTTTATCAGAATCTCTTTTCTATCTTAGCTGCCATTATTCAAAATCTGCTTATGTATAGTTCAGCCTCTGCTTTTTCACATTTCTGCTCTCCTAAAGGACATTTTGTCCCAAAATTATTGGGAACTCCACTTGTTTAATTTCAGGGCTTTAGAATTTAGTTCAGCTCACAGATAAGAAGCCCTTGGGATACATTGCCAAAGGTTGTGATGCCAATTCAAATTGCTTGCTAAACCAACTAATCACTGCTTATGCATTACTAGCATGCTACTCGTTAACTTATTCTCATAGTTCCCCTTCACTTCCTAACCCTTTCAGCTGCCTGCCACACTTGCAGAAATGTCGTTGGCAGATGGTTTTAGGCTGTTCGAGTGCTGAGCTGTAATGACCAGCAGGGTTACATAATGACATACACCAGTGTATGGTAATATATTGGCATAACCTTTCTTCCCCACCATTTACTGCTGACTTGTAAAAGATAAATTCATTCAGACAACTCTATGCCTAACAGATCATTTCTTACCTTTACATGTTGCTGCATGAGTCAGGGAAAAATCTTAAATGTGCCTCTGAAGGGTCTTAATTAAGCTTGGTTTTATTGGACAAGCAAGAAAAGTGAATTCTAAAGGCAACAAAATGCCCTAAGATACAGACTTTATTAAAGGAGTTTGTTTAACTATAGAACAAAGACTTAAAGTCTTAATTGTATTGCCTTCCTCTTAAAAATGAATACATGTCCATCTAGTTCAATATTTATATATATAGCCACTATAAAGAAAAATGTAGTTTATGTTTCACTAACATGTGTTCCTTTAATTATATTGTTACTTTCTTTAAAAAGTTACTTAAATTTTCATCTTTTATTAGCCCATTTTTCCCTTAACAAATAAATAGTTTTGAGATTGAATCACTACTTTTGTTAAGCAGGGTACCATAATCAGAGGTAAAGAACTAATTTTTTTTTTTTTTGGCTAGACTTGCAAATATGAGCTACATTTGCTAAAGGTAAAAAGAATAACAACTCTAAGACCAATGTATATATCATGAATTTTTTTTTTCATTTTATATCAAAATGTTGGCTATTTGTTTCCAAAAATAGACAGAAACTTAGACTGATATGGAGAAAAAACTCCCTCTGCCGTTGCAGATCAGCATCTGTTGTGGGATTTAGTGTCCTGAAAAGTTACCTAGGACCTTGAGACCTTAAGTGATTTGTACCATGTCATGTGCCAGAGGTAGAATTTGAACCCAGGTCTTGCTGTCCCTTTCTCCTACACCACATTGCCTCTTATTCAGAAAAAAAGCTAAAGAAAAAGGAAGTCATTTTATGGTCATGTTCAGGAAATAGGGAATGTTATTGGCGGGGGCAGAGCCAAGATGGCGGAGTGAAAGCAGTGACTTGTTTGAGCTCTCCCCCAGACCCCTCCAAATACCTATAAAAATGGCTCTAAACAAATTCTAAAGCAGCAGAACCCACAAAAAGACAGAGTGAGACAAATTTCCAGCCCAAGACAACCTGGATGGTTGATCAGAAAGGTATATCGCAACGGGTGGAGAGAGGAGCGCACTTCAGTGTGGGCCCGCAGGCCGCAGCAACCCTGGAGCAGGCCTCAGAGGACTGAATCTCAGGAACCTGTGGCGGTTTTCGGACCTCTCGACCCACGAACACCAAAGACAACTTAGAAGGTCAGTGGGAAAAGTCTATGACTGCAGTGAGAGAAGGAGCTAGGTCTCAGCTGCAAGTCCCAAGCGTGGCCTCTAAGGCAGCAGCTACCTCCTCAGCTCCCGGCTCACAGACTGAGGGGGAATCGAGTGACTGATCAGAGGGGGATTGCATGGATTTCTCTGCCAGAGCTGAGGCAGGATTCTCTTGCTCTGCCCGTGCTTGGATCTGGGTAGTAGTTCTGAAGGGGGGGTCCTGGGGCGAAGAGGAGCGCTGGCCTAGTGGAGCTTGTTGGGGCAGTGGAGAGGAAACACCCTGCCCCTTATCATACTACCTTGGAAGAACTGAAAATTTACAGGTCTCTAGAAGTACCTCTAAAAACAGCTGTATAAACCCCAAGCCTGGGACAGTACATTCTCCACATTGGAAGCAGATTCTTACCTTAACAAAGAGTTTAAAACTCAAGTAATTGACTGGGATCATGAGTAAGCAGCACAAAAAGAGTCAGACTATATTATCTTTCTTTGGTGACATAGAAGATCAAAACATACAACCAGAAGAAGACAACGAAGTCAAAGCTCCTACATCCAAAGTCTCCAAGAAAAATATGAATCAGTCCCAGGCCTTGGAAGAACTCAAAAGGGATTTTGAGAAGCAAGTAAGAGAAGTAGAGGAAAAACTGTGAAGAGAAATGAGAGTGATGCAAGAAAATCATGAAAAGCAAGTTAACAGCTTGCTAAAGGAGACCCAAAAAAATACTGAAGAAAATAACACCTTAAAAAATAGCCTAACCCAAATGGCTAAAGAGGTCCAAAAAGCCAATAAGGAGAAAAATGCCCTAAAAAGCAAAATTGGCCAAATGGAAAAGGAAGTCCAAAAGATTACTGAAGAAAATACTTCCTTAAAAATTAGAATAGAGCAATTGGAAGCTAGTGACTTTATGAGAAATCAAGACACTGTAAAACAAATCCAAAAGAATGAAAAATTAGAAAACAATGTGAAATATCTCATTGGAAAAACAACTGACCTGGAAAATAGATCCAGGAGAGAGAATTTAAAAATTATTGGACTATCTGAAAGCCATGATCAAAAAGAGCCTAGACATCATCTTTCAAGAAATGATCAAGGAAAACTGCCCTGATATTCTAGAACCAGAAGGCAAAATAGAAATCAAAAGAATCCACTGATCTCCTCCTGAAAGAGATCCCCAAAGGAAAACTCCTAGAAATATTGTAGCCAAATTCCAGAGTTCCCAGGTCCAGGAAAAAAATATTACAAGCAGCCAGAAAGAAACAATTCAAGTATTGTGGAAACACAATCAGGATTACACAAGATTTAGCAGCTTCTACATTAAGGGACCGCAGGGCATGGAATATAATATTCCGGAGGGCAAAGGAGATAGGATTACAACCAAGAATCACCTACCCAGCAAAACTGAGTATAATCCTTCAGGGGAAAAAATGGTCATTCAGTGACATAGAGGACTTTCAAGCATTCTTGATGAAAAGACCAGAGCTGAATAGAAAATTTGACTTTCCAATACAAGACTCAAGTGGAACATGAAGAGGTAAACAGGAAAGAGAAAATCATAAGAGACTTATTAAGGTTGAACTGTTTACATTCCTGCATGGAAAGATGATATTTGTAACTTATGAGACCTTTGTCAGTATTAGGGTAGTTAGAGGGAAAAAATTATCTGTATGTATATATATGTACATAGATAGATATAGATATAGATAGATAGACAGATAGAGGACACAGGGTGAGTTGAAGATGAAGGGGTCATATCTGGAGAATAAAATTAAGGGGTGAGAGAGGATTATACTAGGAGAAGGAGAAAGGGAGAGATAGAACAGGGTAAATTATCTCACAAAAAAACAGAAAAGGCTCTTACAGTAGAGGGGAAATGGGGAAGGTGAGGGGGAATGAGTGAATCCTATTCTCATAGGATTTGACTTAAGGAGAGAATAACATACACACTCAATTGGGTATGGAAATCTGTCTTACCCTACAAGAAAATAGGGAGGAAGGGGACAAAAGAATAAGGGGGATGATAGAGAGGAGGGCAGATTGGGAAAGGGGGTAATCAGAAGCAAATACTTCTGAGGAGGAACAGAGTCAAAAGAAAGGAAAGAATAAATGGCAGGATAGGATTAAAGGAAATAGAGTTAGTTTTTCACAGTGTGTCTACTATGGAAGTGCTTTGCATAACTGCGCATGTATAACCTATATTGAATTGCTTGTCTTTTCAATGACGGTGGGTAGGGAGGGAGGAAGGGAGAAAATTTGGAACCCAAAGTTTTAAAAACATGTTTAAAAAAAATGTTTTCACATACAACTGGGAAATAAGAAATACAGGAAATGGGGTACAGAAATCTATCCTGCCCTACAGGAAAATAGAAAGGGAAGGGGATAAGAAAAGGGGGGAGAGATAGCAGGGAAAGCAGACTAGGGGAAGGGGTATTTAGAATGCATGCTATCTTGGGGTGGGCAGAGGGGTGAGATGGAGTGAAAATTTGGAACTCAAAATCTTCTGGAAGTAAATGTTGAAAACTAAAAATAAATAAATTTATTAAAAAAAAAAAGAAATAGGGAATGTTAAAACATATTAAGAGGGGAAAAAGACAGTATATTATTTTCCTTTCTGATTGCCTTTTGTAAATCACTTTGTTCCCCTCCAAATTTGTCCTTCCTCAAAGGAATGTTACATATAAAAAGTAGCAGTATTGGTTTCTAGTCAGTATTCTGTAATTCTGAATTATAGCTATCAAAACATTTTACTTAGAGCATTTGGATTTGGTAGAATACATACATGGGCACAGTTTGGAGACAGTTTAAAGTGTGATTACTGTATGTAATAAAATTACTAAAACATCTCAGAATCAACTGCATCTTAGCTTATTTCAGTGAAATAATGTAAATACAAAATTCTCATCAGTTTTATAAATGTTTATTTATGTAGCTTTAAATTGTCACATGTGATTGTCTCATATCAGTTTTAGTCCAAGAAGATATCATCCTTATATAATCGAGTTGGCAAATTTATTTTTAAATTTATTGGTGCTTTACAAAATACATTGTTGTTACTTCCCAATGATTCACCTTTATTCCCTCCACCCTTCATGCTCTTCTTCCTGCCCCACCCTTCTCCTGCCCCATGGAACTCTCCTGCAAAGCAAAGGTAATGAAATCCATCGTCCTGGGTGGATAGGCCACACAAACCCATGTGTCACCACCAGCCTGTCCACCAACAGGAGGCAGACATCCTTCACTTCTGGTTCTTTAGAGTCATTAGCAGACCCTGCATTGATCAGCTTCTGATCTTTTGGTATTATTTTCCTTTACATTATCATGGTTGTTGTGTTCCTTTTTCTCCTAGATCTGCTCTCTCTTCTGTATCCATTCATACAAGACTTCCCAAGTTTCCCTGAATTTTAGCAAATTTCAAATGATTTCTTCTAACCTTTCCTGGAAATTACTGGAGTTAATGCAAAATAAATTATATTTAGTTTTATCATAGCCAATAAATTAATTAAAATTTAATCATTTAAAAGGAGCAATAAAATTATTGCTTTGATTTTGGATTTACTGTTGAAAGTATAGATCATCTTTATTACTTCATTGGATTATTTTTAAACTTAATTTTAATTAAAAATTTTCTTGAAGATTATTTGAGATGGTAATTTCTGAAGCTGCTGCCATGCTTTATGTCTCCAAATGGTTCTTTTAAATTGTCTACAGGTCATTGTATCAATGAGCATAGCATTTGCTCAGCAGAGTGAAATAGCAAGACTTTCTGGGCAAAAGAAGAACATTGCATCAGTGACACAAATAAATACCTGTCAACGAAAAGAACCCTTTGCAACTGAAACGAAACATTCTAAAAATGTGTTTAGCATACAGGCTTTTGAGGCAGAAGAAATGAAATTGAAAGAACTAAAACCTCTCAGCAAAGAGTTGAGTGAAGAAGAATCCAAGGAAATTCTTTTATCCAGTACTAATAATCTTGAAAGCACGTTGGAATTGAAGGACCAAGAAATAGATTTTTCAAGAGAAATGTTCTTCCCAAACAGAGAGTTTATTTTTACAGAACATGTGAGTACTTGTGTCTTTAAGTATAAAAAGATATCATCTTTTGTTTTTAGTATTTCTGTTTTTGTTTGGATTCATTTCAGTCATACAGACAGTACAAGTGCACATCCTTGGAATGCTGACCAGGTGGTCCGGTGGCTTTCCTTTCCCATTGTGATCATTTGAGGTTTTTTTCTTCTCCCCCTTAAACTTTTCACTCAGCAGACTGCTTCTAGGCTTAACTAACATGGAGTAACCCTCATGTCTCTGCATACCTACTTTTCACTTTACCCTAAGCCTGAACCAGGCCTAAGGTGATAAACCTTATGGTGGCCGGGGAAGAGAAGGGATGAGGAGACCTGAAATCCCCATCCTCTTTTTTCCCCTGGTCCTACAACTGGTCTTAGGCAGTATCTTTAACCAGCTGACCCCTTCCCCACCCTGCCCAACTTCCCCTTCCCATCAGACGCCTCACCCACCCAATTCCTAGTATAAAATGCCCCAAGCAGCCCAGATCTCTTCCTATGAAATATACATAAATTTTATTTTATTTCCTTGGACGCCCAAAAATCCCATTAGCACCTACATGCCTACCTTTCCTAGTATTAATAAGTTCTGTGAAAATACAGTGTGAAATAAAACAACATTGCAGGGGGCATAAAGGAAGTATGCTGTAAATGTGTCACCAGCTGAACAATATTATAGCAGGGTTCCACAGCTTTATGGTATGACTTGGTTTTAATATATGAGAATATTTTAAAAATTATGTTGGTTGGTGTAACTTTATGTGGGATATACCTGTATTTAAAGGGATTAAGTGTGAAAAAAGGATTTAAGTTTTTTTTTCTTTGTTTTTTGAAGAGTATTATTTAGGATTGAGCCATTTAACTCCCTTTCATCATTGTTATTTGCAAAAACTCTTCAGAAACCTCCAAAGCACAGTGTGCTTTCTTCAGGGAGTACATAGAAGAGAAGCTAAGAAACTTCATTCTTTTCCACAGTGGAGCAGGAAGGAGAGGAGCTCCTCTCAGAAGTCAGGCCTAGTGGCAATGGAAAGACAGATAGGCACGACAGTCCCTGGATTTCTCAGAAAAATAGAATGGAAGGGACTTAGGGAACTGGACCAGGACCAGGTGGGACACTAGACCTCTGGAGCTCCTTAATGTCAAACCCTTGGACAAAGGTGGGGAACCTGTGGCCTCAAGGCCACATGTGGCCTTCTGGGTCCTTGGGTGGTACCTTTTGACTGAGTCCAAGTTTTGCAGAACAAATACTTTTATTAAAGGAATTTGTTCTATGAAGTCTGGATTCAGACTTCAAAGGGCTGCACTTGAGGACCTAGAGGGCCACATGTAGCCTCAAAGCCACAGGTTCCCCACCCCTGTCCTTGGAGCTACCATCTTCAGACCTCACCCACATTTAGTCATGCTCCTCACCTTCCCCCTTCTTCTAACTTTAGCAGCCCTGTCTCTGAAAGTTAGCACTGGGACATCTAAATCTTCACTTTGGAGGTTCTTCAAATGATAGCAGGTCTCCAAATTTGTTATGTTATATGTGAGTTACAGTTTTGTCTCTTCAAGGTGGCAAAAATATTAAGAAAAAATACCATCTATTCCTTATTCATTATAAAAGAATCTATTAACAACTGTTACTGTTCACACAATAGTTTTTTGAGGCTGAAAGTGAGTGGGGGAACCCACTGGTGTATCTAACCTTTACTATCCACTCTTTCTTCATGGTGACTCCTTGTGTTGTGTCAGGTTCAGGGGGATGTGAAAACCTTACCACCTCTATATTATTACCTGTTTCCCACAAGCCGTACACAGGACCTGGAAGCCCCAACGCTGCTTCTTGGAGATTTCAGGAAGCAAAATACAGTAGCAGCCACTGGCAGCCCCTTCCTTCTCCTAGAACCTGAGAGGAAATAAAGACTGACCCCGTAGGAGTAGGGGGGGAAGGGAAAAAAGAAGAATCAGAGCAGGAAAAAGGCAGAATCAGAAAAGAGAAATCCCCTCTCCCAAAAAAGGAGGAAAGGAAAATAAGGGTGGAGATAAGGTTAGAAGGAAAAAAAGCAGAAGTAATAATCAGTATAAGAGAGAAGTGGTAGGTGTTGGGAATGAGGTGAAATGTCACCTTAGTGGCCATGGCCCTTCATCATCCATTTCCTAAGGGTCCAGAGTTGTATTAAATGATCAGTATATCAGAAGTGTTCACTAGGAAATTCTGTTATAATTGTTTATAAGTTTAAATTACCCCCACAGGAGAGTTAGTCATTTGCTTAGTGAGAAAACCTGTTCTTTTTATAGGGAGGGACATGTAAAATAATGTGCTATTGTTTAATGACCCCAGAAATGTCAGACTAATAGCTTGGTAGACATAAATTTCCCCAGCCTGCTTTGTAAAGGTAGCCCAAACTTGCCATTATGTTCAACACATTTCCACTACCTTCTTGTTAATCACATTTAAAAGTACGCTTCCAGTTAAAATAGGTTAATTCTGTTCATTTTTATACCTCGATTGTAGTAACATTCTTACTTTAAAGCATAAATAGTATAAACTTCCTTCAGTTTTGAACTTGATAAAACAATTCACTCTTATATTGACTGTTAAATCTGATTCAACAAACAATTTAACTTTAATTTAATTTATTTTATTTAATTAATTTAACAAAAAATTAAGCAAGACACTGTGATAGGTGCTGGGAGTACAAACAGACAAATGAAACAATTCCTGCTGTCAAGGAACTTCTATTCTAATAGCAGAGTACACATAAACATAAAGCAAGTTAAGGAGTTATCACTCCTTATCTTATCCTTATCACAGTGGAGAAGTCACATAATGAAGTGCTTTGGAAAAATCCAGGGAAGGAGAGAACCCTGGCAGTTAGGAGGACTAGGGCAGGTTTCTAAAGGTAGTGATGCCTGCCCCGAAGGTAAAGAGGACATGCCAGTCTTCTCCGGAATATTTGGTGGCAGAAAGTGGATTTTCATGTCTGAGAAACAGTTAATAGTCCAGTTCAGCTCATACGCCGTGTATGAAAGGGAATTCTGTCCAAAACAGAATTCATTATCTTTCTCCTAAACCTAACAGTCCTCCAGATCTCCCCGTTTCTGTTGAGGGTACCACCATATTTCCAGTCACCCAGGTTCCCAACTTTAGATCGTCCTTAGCTTTTCCCTCTCTGCCCCTGTTCCCCATCTACAGTCAGGTGCCAAGATTTGTCAGTTTTACCTCCATAGCCCCTTCATCCGTCCCCTTCTCTCATAGGGCCACCCGTCTAATGCAGGTCCTTATCACCTGTCTCTGACTAACAGGACTGCCTCCTCATTGGTGTCTCTGCTTCTCATCTCCCAAAGCTCAAGTCTGACCATGTCACTCAAGAATCTTCAGTGCTACCTGTCGACCCTCTGTGGCACTTGAAGCCCTTCATGATCTAGCTGCAGCCAGCCTTTCCAGGCTTAGCTCATGCTTCCCCTTCACACACTTGCATTCCAGCCATCTCCAGTCTCCATGTCTATGTACAGGTCTTCTGTGCCTTAGTCCTGAGAGGTGCTCCCTCCTCACCACTGCTCCTTGGAATCCTTGGCTTTCTTCCAGGTGCAACTCATGCGCCCCCTCCTAGGAAGAATTCTTTGCAGATCTCCCAAATCATTGGGATTATCTTGTATTTGCTTATTTCCTTATATGGTGTATTAGCCCCATAGAATGGGAGCTGTCTGAGTGCACAGACTATTTTTTGTTGTTGTGTTGTCATACCCAGCACCTAGAACATGATAGGACTTAATCAGTGTTTATTAAATTCAGTTGTATGTTGAGGGTATATGAGATACTGTATTACAAAGTTACTCTCATTCATGTAATATCATGTTACTTTTGCATAGTACAATGTTAATCACAGCATACTATGAGTTAAAAATGATAGTCCCTGGCTTCTAGAAGCCCATTAAAAATAGCTTATTTTGTGTTATTTGTTCCCAAAAAATATGTCAATAGAGTTGTAGACTAACTTGTCTGAGAGGGATCTTGAGAGATAAACTCTCTAGTCAGTTATTCAGTGAACATTTATTATATACCTACTATGTGTCAGGCATGGTGCTAAGCCCTGGGGATACAAAGAAAGGCAAAGACAGTCCCTGCCCTCAAGGAGCTCACAGTCTAATGGGGGAGACAGCAGACAAACAACTATATACAGACAAGCTGTATGGAAGATAAATTGGAGATCATCAACATAGGGAAGGTTCTGATTACATCTAAACTTGGATAGCTAATTCCACTGCTTTGAAAATAATATAGACCAATTAAGCCAATTTTTTTTCATATTCATTTGGGAGTGTTATTATGGCATGCCTCTGTTTTTCTTTGCACATAAAAGTAGGTTTTGTTTTAATATATCTTTAGAGGAAACTTAGAGGATAAAGAACTAGAATGCTTTTGATATTCATTTAAATATATGAATGCCTACATATTTTAAAAATTTTTTTATTAATTTATTTTTAGTTTTCAACATTCACTTCTACAAGCTTTTGAGTTTTAAATTTTCTCCCCCTCCCTTTCCGCCTCCCTCCCCAAAATGGCGTGCAGTTTGATATAGAATGCTTACGTATTTTCAATACGCTCTGAAATAAATTACATTTGCAAACTGATGTTAAATTTTCTAGATCCAGGATGAGATTTTGGCATCAAATACAGACGCTTCTAGGCAACTGCTGGTACCTGAAGAGCAGTTGGAAGACCTGAGGCAGGAGTTGGTGCGGCAGTACCAGGAGCACCAGCAGGCCACCGAGTTGTTGAAGCAAGCTCACATGCGCCAGATGGAGAGGCAGCGGGAAGACCAAGAGCAGCTGCAGGAGGAGATCCGGAGGCTGCACAGGGAATTAGCCCAGGTCAGCATCCTCTGTGCGAGGGAAGGAAGACCCTTATTGTTCAGGGTGCATCAGGAGCTTTTGGTTTGCCAAATTTCCAATAAACTGTTCAAGGAGACAGTCTCATTGTGCTAGGTCTCATAGGGAGGCTTTCTGTAACCTCTCCTGGAAGTCTGCTGCTATTTCCTAGTGGGTCTTTCATCGTGTGTACAGGCCATTTCCAACACTGACTTGATGGTCCAAGGATTGGTTTTGCCCCATTTGTTTTTCGTTTGTCCTGGAGTGGTATAATCTGCATGTGGCTTCATTAGGTTTTGCCGCATTCTCCGTGTGCATAGGTCCAACTGGGCACCAAAGAGATAGACCTCTTTCCTGCTCTAATCTGACTAATTACAAGTAGATTCTCTCGAAGGTGACATGTTTCCAGAACTCTCTCTAGGGGAAGATCTTATTTTGATTCTAGAAACACAAATTTATATCATTTCTACCCTTTCCTGACTGAAAATTTATGTACTTTGCTTGGAATTTGGGAGCCGGGTTCTTGAAAATTTCTGTACAGAAAAGCATACTCACAAAATCAATGGAGAAGATGTAATAGACCAAAACAGCTTTCAATTATCAGTAATCTCTGGGGGACAAAAGCTCCAAGCCTCTTTGAATTTAGGTTTGTATGCTTAAAAAAAAAAAAAATATGAAATGACCAGAAAATTTTTTAAAATTCTGTCAAATATAATGATAGAAGTATTTTTTGAAGTATGGAATATAATATTTAAATAGTATACCTGATGAATCAACTTTTCTCCATTGCATTTTGTGAATTTAAATTTCTGATTTTTCAATGCAAAATTAGTCTTAAAAATAATATCTGAAAGGCTTATTCAAGCCCTAAATATTTAGGTGAAACTAACATTTTTTAAAAGTCTGAAAATTTTGCATTGAAAACTGAATACTTTTAACCCCTTGAAGTGGGATGGAATTACCCAGGTCTGTTAGTTCTAGGGGTTAAAAGACATCAATAACTCAATCAATAAAAATTTATTAAGTGCCTGCTACATTCTAGGCACTGTGTTAAATGCTGGGACATCTGCTTTAATGTTCCTGATTTCTCTCCTCCCCCTCCTATCGCAAGCAGTATTCTCTCATGACCTTTTCTCTTATTTAGAGTGCCTCAATAGATAATGAAAACCTGGTTACAGAGAGAGAGAGGGTGCTTTTAGAGGAGCTGGAAACCCTACAGCAGCGATCATTAGCTGGAAGAGAGAAGCTGTGTTGTGAGCTGCGCAGCAGCTGTACGCAAACACAGGTAGCGTGGACGTGGATTTGGGCCGGCCTGGCTGCAGCGCTCTGGCTGGGCACCAGCGTGTGTTTGTCCTCTTCAGGCTTTGGGTTCTGCTTCCTCGTACCGGCTTGAATGCAAGGTTGCAGGAGCCCAGATGCCTTGCATGCCACGTCAGATGAAGGGCAATGACCACATTGCTGGTCCAGCCCTCTGGGCACCCAGGAGCCTTGTGACCATCCTTATCGGAATGTGTGTGTTGCATCCATGATCTTTTCTCATATACGTGTCTCAGTGTTTTGTCATTTCTTGATAATACTAATCCCATGATATAAAGTCGGGTTAAATATTATTTCAAATGGTATCTAATTTGTACATAAACTTTTTGGTTTCACTTTGTAACTAAGAGGAAGAATGACATGCCATTTCCAAAATGACCGGATTTTTGTTTCTCTTATCCTCCCTGCCTTTACAAAAACTAATGCAGGATGAAAATGAGAACCAAGTAGTCGAAGAACAACAAATTGTTCAGGATGAATCAGAGGACAAATCTCAAACTGTGGCTTCTGACATTCTCTCTAAAGAAAGGTATAGAAGATGTGGGTGTAGTTTTGTAGTTTGCTTTATTTTAGTATTATTATTATTATTTTTGAATGATTATTTTGTTTACATTAAACTACTTAGTGATAGCACTGCTGTCTTGCTGATCTTTTATCTTTTGTCTAAGAATCAATGTGCCCTTTATGCAACAAAACTATCAATACAGGGGCAGCTAGGTGGTGCAGTGGATGGAGCACCGGCCCTGAAGTCAGGAGGACCTGAGTTCAAATCCGGCCTCAGACCAAACACTTGACACTTACTAGCTGTGTGACCCTGGGCACGTCGCTTAACCCCAACTGCCTAAAAAAAAACAAAACAAAAAAAAAACTATCAATACATATGAAGAGGAGTACCAGGTTTTCTACAAGTTGCATTAGACAAACAGAAATTACCAGAGGCCTTACAGAATACTGGATTTGGAGTCAGAGCTTCTGCCACTCACCACTATGTGCCTTTGGGCAAGAGACTGAATTTTGGTTTCCTCATTTGAAAAATTAAGGAATTGGACCAGATGGCTTTGAAGGTCCTTTCTTCTCTAAATCTGTGATCCTAAAACCATCCCTTTTTTGGCATTCTAATTACTTAGAATTCCCCTTGTGTAACTTCACAACTTTACATAGCATTTCACTACCAGAAGAATACCGTTGTAGTGATGAGTTATTTCATCACAGAACATTTCATTATTCAGTGTATATAGAGATGCATCACAGAATATTTCTTTTCTGGTTTTTTTCATACTCAAAACATTGTGTAATTCCTACTTGAGATTTGTTTCTTTTAGTTCACTGCACAGCATACAAAAATGTTTAATTCATGTACCAGTATATTTTAAAAAATGAGCCAAATGTCAAGCACTTTTCTTATTTCACCTCTATATATAAATATTGTAAATGAGTTATTACAGACATTTTATAACATCAGTACAAAATATAAAACATGTCTATGTATTATTGAAGAATTTTAAAATGACATTTTAGATCCATTGTTATTCAAATGAATGTAAATTATGCAGCTTTAAACTAAAATTAATGTCTACTAACTTCATTTCCTCCCTTTCCAACTCCCGTAATTGCCTACCCTCTTGTATCCTCCTAATCCCTTTCCTCAGCTTGCATGGAGGCTTTTGGCCCCTAAGATTTTGGCTCCCCCATTGGATCCTCAGTATGGCGCACAGTCAGTGTGGAGCTCAGACAAGAAAAACAGTGTATGAAAACTAGAGTTTCCAAAGAAATATAAAATAAAATGATTTATTTTATATTCATTCTCTAATCAGTAGACTTGTTAGTAAATGTTTAATATTTGTAGGAATTTGGGTAATAAGTAGTTTTGACGGGTTTTGTTTGTTTTTCTGATTATACATTAGGTAATTAATTTTGTTTATTCCTAAGGATACTTTTGAAACAAATTTTTCTGATGGGAGAAATTTACCCTTATTGTGTTGCTAGTAAAGAAGTTTAGAAAAATGAAATGGGAATTCTTATTTAAGTGATCTTGATTTTATTTTTTCAGTGTTCAGGTGTGCATCCAAATCAGAGAATGTGATTTACAATAGCATGATCACCATTCATTTAACAGAAACTGAAGGAAAATTTTCTCATTTATCACTCTGAAAATGCCATGTGCCTGATATGTCATATACTGTGACTTAGTAGTCAACTCCTACAGTATGAAGTTATGGAAAAAAAATTAGTTTCAGAGACATATTGTCTACCAAGAAATCATATCAATTAACCTAAATAGGTGTATATATAGAAATATAAATAAAATGTAAGGAGAAACACTGAAGTGTCTTCACTGAACTGGGCTATTAGAAAGTCAGTTATTTGATTATTAAAGAATTTTATCAGTTAAGTTTCATAAGATTCATTGCATTTGGAGAAGCTCTTGTGAAGAGATCAGATGTGCTTCATGTTTATTGATGAGGCCCCATCTTCAGTTCAGGGTCAATGTCCCATTACCTCTACTCAGTTCTGACCATCTTAATCCAGCCTCTGCAAAGCCAGAGTTTTCAGTCTTTGGAAATCTGAACTGTCACCCCTAGAGAAGCACAGGAAGAGTGTTAGGGGGGGTTTTTAGAGTGGGAGCCTGCTTGTTAAATGGGTACTCTGAAGGTCTTCTTTGTAAGCTTGCAGGCCTAAGAATATGAAGTTACTTCATTTGTTTCAGATCACTAAAATACAAATTTAATGCATCTTGAAATATCATAGTTAATTGACCCAAATCACTTATTTAAAAGAATCAGTTAAGATATAGACGTCGAAAGACTTCACTGTAAATGAGAGTTTTGTAGATCATTTAAGGGAAATGACTACATGCTGGTTTATCCTCTAAAAATTAATGAGTATTTCCTCATGGATATTTACTGCGTTTTATATATATGATGCTTAATTCATGACAAGTAGAGTAAAATAATTTAATTAATTTATCTTTGTTTGCATGTGTAGATATGCTCTCCAGAAAGCTAATAACAGACTTCTCAAGATCCTCTTAGAAGTTGTAAAGACAATAGCAGCAGTTGAAGAAACAATTGGCCGCCATGTTCTTGGAATTTTGGATCGCTCTAATAAAGGCCAGTCCTCAGCCAACATCGTTTGGAAGTCAGAGGCAGAAGGAACAGGGAAGTCCTGCTCCCGTGAGGAAGACATAGAAGGTACTGGTTTTCTAGAATCTTGAAGTCCTTTTCATTGATAGACGTCTATTAAGTATCTACAGGGCAGTGCAGAGTCTTCACTGGTAAGCTGTCACAGCATCCGCCACCACAAAAAGCCCCCAAAATCAATCTAAGGAGCTGTTCTTCTAAATATGTTCTTAAAAGTATTTCAGAGTTAGCACTTAGGGCCTTGTAAAGCTGCCTCCAACCATACACCTCCCGGAAGGTCAGCAGGACACCTAAACAAGAGAAGTCACTGTGTGGCCAAATTCTGAACCAGGGACAGAAAACATCCACACATACCATCAGCATCCTCCTCAAATGCTTCAACATTTGAGAAGTCGTAAAGAGATAAAAATTTAAATAAAAAAACAGGCTTTATTAAAGTTTCAAGGTTCCCAGAAGAAAATCACCATGTAAAGTTAAAAGGCAGGAGGGATTAAAAGTTAAAGATTTAAAGTTAAAGAGGCAAGAGTACTGTGCCAAAGCATGAGACTTAACTTTGGCTAATGCACCAACAGTGGTTCTAGATGTTATACAAGCCCATCTCACATTTTTATCTTTGCTTGCTAGCCTCTGGTTCATCTTCTGTCTCCCCATATCCCTGTTTCATAAGGATGGGCAAAGCTGTAAGAATCAGAAGAAAAGGAAAGATTGAATTCTGGTGGAGGTGGAAAGAAAGTGGCAGTATACCTTACCTTAGTATGGAGGAAAGCTGTCCCCTTATGGCCACATGAAGAAGGCCATGACTATTTTCATCTACAAGTTCTCACATTTAATTTTAAGTTGTACTTCAGCATTTCCTTAAAGTATTATTTTTGTCCACTTCTTTTTATGGGTGCCCAGTGTCAGTTTACCATGTGGCAACCACTTGTGTTACATGTTCTCTACACACATCCAATCTAATTAAATAAATCCACGAGTCTGTTTTGAACACATTCACTAATTATTGTCCGGCTCTGCAGAAGTAACATCTTTCCTTTTTTTCCCCCCTCTTTTTCATTTGTTGAGGTTCAATTCAATTCAACAAGGAGCTTATATTCTACTGAGGGATGTAACATAAATAAGCAAATACGAGGTATTTTGAAAAAGGAAAAAAGCATTAACAATAAGGGAAATTAGGAGGAAGTGTTTCTCTACTAGTACCTGAGTAAGCATTGAGGAAAGCTAAAGATTCTCAGAGCCAGGGGAAGATATTGCACATTTCAGGTGAGTGAACCAACCTGGGCCAGAGCAGAGAGGCCAGTTATAGAAGGCTGAGTGCAGAGGCGAGAGCAAGGAGACCCAGCTGACTAGAGCAGGGATTTGTGAAGGAAGCAGTTCATGAAGTAAACCCAGAAAGGCTGGTGAGAGCAGGATGGTAAAGAATTTCAAGAGCCATGCCAAGGATTTTGTATTTTGTTCTAGAGACATAAGGAAGTGTGTCAGGTTCTTGAGCAGAGGAGTGACATGAGGGAAGAAGGCATCATGGTATTGTGGGATGGTACAAAGAGGGTTAGATGTAGAGGTAGAAGGCTCAAATCCTGGTTCTGCCATTTACACCTCATGGGACATTGAGGGACAGGTCTGACAGGTCCCTGAACCTCTCTGGACCTGAGTTTTTTCATCAACTCATCTAGTCCTTTAAGAAAATCTGTTTTGGACCCTAGTATTTTTAATGGAACCCCTCTGGGAAGTATGACATATATGTTCAAAATATTCATCTGATAACTTTGTTTTATTTTTTTATATATTTTTTGTTCTGAATTCTTCCCTTGTCCTTAAATCTGACAGGTAAACTATTCCATACTCTCCTCATCCTTTATGTGTAAATCATGTACCCATTTTAGCCGTAGTATATGGTGTGAAATGTTGGTGTATACCTAGTTTCTGCCATACTGCTTTCTATTTTTTCCAGCAGTTTTTGTCAAATAATGAGTTTTTGTCCCAAAAGCTTAGAGTCTTTGGATTTATCAAATATTAGATTACTATGGTTGTTTACTACAGTGTATGGTGTACCTAACCTATTCCACTGACCCACCACTCTATTTCTTAGCCAGTACCAGATTGTTTTGAGTATTATAGAGTTTTAAATAAGACATTTTCCTAAGTTGCTAATTGGATTAATGAAACACCTTCTCATCTGTCTTTTTACATGACTTGTTAGCAAAGGCCTCTATACTTGTGGACTATCAACTTTCTTTCTTTTTTTTTTTTTTTTAACATGTGTTTTTAAAACTTTGGGTTACAAATTTTCTCCCTTCCTCCTTCCCCACCGACCCTCATTGAAAAGGCAAGCATCTTGATACAGATTATAGATGTGTAGTCATGCAAAACACTCCCATAGTAGTCCTGTTGTGAAAAACGATAAGTATGTTTCCCTTCATCCTATCCTACCCCCCATTTATTCTATTCTCTCTTTTGACCCTGCCCCTCCTCAGAAGTGTTTGCTTTTGATTATCCCTTCCATCAATCTTCCCTCTCCTCTATCAACCCCCTGCTTTCTTGTCCCCTTCCCCCCTTATTTTCCTGTAGGGTAAGATAGATTTCCATACCCCATTGTGTATGTTATTCCCTCCTTAAGCCAAATCCTATGAGAATAAGATTCACTCATTCCCTGTCATCTTCCCTCATTTCCCCTCCACTGTAAAAGCCTTTTCTTGTCTGTTTCATGTGAGATATTTTACCTCATTCTGGACTACCAACTTTCAAGACTGAGCTTTTTCAAACTTTAAACATGTGGTGACCTGTTAACTGTTTAAAAAATAATTGATTTGTTAATGTTTGCATCCTCACAACAATAACCTGTTGGACTGCATGCAAAGGAAGATTTAGGGCCAGTGGGACATCACTGAATCTTCATTTAGGTTTATGTCACTGAGCTATCTGCAAATCCAGGGAAAGCAAGTCCACTCCAGAACTGTACAAGGCATGGTCAGTAGTAGAATTTTTTCCTCCCATGGGAGAAATCTAGTTCTGATTTTCAACCCAACATAACTACCTTTCGAGGAGGAACCCATGCTGTAGCAGAAAGAACACTGAACTCTAGTTGCATGACCTTGGGCAAGTCTTTCAGTTTTTAGAGGTCTTTGAAAAGTGTGCTCTTACGCTGTGGTCTGAGACTGACCTGAGTGTGAGCCCTGGCATTCATTGTGAATGCAGGAATCACAGTCCTTGGACATAGGTTCTCATCCTCTCCATTTCTGAGAATCTCTAAGAAATTGTCCCAGGCAGGACAACAGCAGAATGTTTCTACTGGTCCCAGAGAGTTTGCTTGGGAATGAACTGAGGGCAAGATGCAGAGAGCTGGGAGTCATCAGCATCAGGATAATAATTAAACCGACCTAAGTGGATGAAGTCATGGAGAAGAGAAAAGGACCCCAGACAGGGGCAGAGAGGCCAGATCACCCAGCCAGTAAAGGGAAGGATTTGAACCCAGGTCTTCTGTCTCTACTATGCCATGTTCCTTGTCAAGAATGTGAAGGGCTGTCATGAGGAAGAGAGAGATAGATATGTTCTTAGTTCTTCCCAATGAACCATAACTGCCTCTCATATCTCAGCCTGTCATAAATGTTATATAGCATACTCTCAGAAATGGCAATCATATTCCATGGCAGTAACGGGTAACTTGCACTTTAATTTTCCTTCATAGAAGGCACACACATGCTTTATTAATTTTGAATAGATATAGTCTAGGAAACAGGAAGAGTATAGATGAATTAAATTTAGTTATATTAGAAATTCTGTTTTAGTTACAATTTAGTATACTAACTGAACCTTTAACAAATCAACAAGTTAAAAATGTGTCCGAGTTTAAATAGTTTCTTTTTCAATTCCTGCCTAAAAAAGTAGAGACACCAAGTGAAATGTTCAAAGCCAAGAAGAGGAGAAACATCAAAAATTCTAAATAATCCAGATATTCTTTTCTACAGAACTTTTATTGCTTATCTCTTTTACCTTTTTTCTTTGCTAGCTGTTGAACAGCAAAGTAGTGTTACATTTTTTGTATTGCCAAATATATCCAATCAAATATAAATTTGATTGTTAAATGTATCCTAATTTGTTTGATGGCATTACAGTTGTGAAAGGTATATTCCCATATAATTACTATATGTTGTTCAGTAGTTTTTTAATCATGTTTGACTCTTTGTGACCCCATTTGGGGTTTTCTTGGCAGAGATTGTAGAGTGGTTTGCCATTTCCTTCTCCAGCTCACTTTAGAGATGAAGAAACTGAGGCAAACAGGGTGAAATGACTTGGCCAGGGACACACAATTAGTAGATATCTGAGGCTGGGTTTGAATTCATGAAGATGAATCTTTCTGACTCTTGGCCTGGCACTCTATGCATTATGGCGCCACGTAGCTGCCCCCAATCATTATATGGTTCTTTTCATAAAAGGACTTGGTAATCGGATGTCTTGTTTCATTTTAAAAATGTGTTATAATTTCTAAATATGAATTTCATCATAACATATTATTCTTCTTACAGAAGAGTCCATAGGCTCTTACTGTGGAAGTGGCATGCCAAGTAATGCCACTGGCACATGGTCAGAAATAACTGATGAAAGAATGGAACTGTGTCAGCGTCTTCTGAGATGCGGTTTTGCTGGAGCTGAAATAGACCCTGAAAATGAAGAACTCATCTTGAGTGTTAGTTCTCGGCTACAGGCAGCAGTTGAAAAACTTCTAGAAGCCATAAGTGAAACAAGTAATCAGGTAAGGCTTCTTACTTGTTGAATGTCTGGTGAGGCTATAGTAGGCTTTTGTTTAAACTGCCTGGAAGAGGTGGCTTTCCAAATCTGCAAGCCTTCTCCGAAGGAGCACTGGGATTCTGAGCAGGGTTTTTGTTTTGTTTTGGACCCAACCTCTGATTTCACTGGTCTAGGTGATGCCTTCTGTCAATGCAGATCACATGGACACTTTCTCTTCAACTTAAAGTCTTAGGAAATTGCCTAAAGCTCTCCAGGGTTGAGAGATTTGCCCAGGGTCACATAGCCAAGCTGCATCAGAAATGAAACTGGAACTCATTTTCCTGACTCCAAGCTGGCTCTCTGCTCCTCCATACTGACTCTCCAACTGCCTCCCTAATTAAGAAGCAGTGTGATGGACTGTAAGCGATAGAGAGCTGGCCTTGAACCAGGGAAGACTGGGGTTCAGGTCCCTTCTCCAATGCATCTTGGCTGTGTGACCGTGGGAGAGTCACTGAACCTCTCGGTGGCCTAAGAAACTCTCTTCATCCAACAGGTTGCAGAGAAGATGCTGGTCTGTATGGGTAGGTGAAGTCTCTGCATCCAAGAGATCACTGTACCAGTAGAAGCACAGGTCCAGAATAATAGCATAAAAATTGTTTTAGACTGTTTGCCAGCTCACACAAGTTCTCCAGTAGATAGCATACATTTACAATATGCTGCCAGCCTACTTGGCACATATAGGCAGATAGTTCGTGCTTTACATAAATTTGCATTATGTAAATTCTACTTTATGTAAAAAATCCTGAAAGAAGTTTGTGTTTCAAAAAAACATGTATGTTAATTTCGCTATATAGTACTGTGCCCTCGTTCTCTCTCAGCTCCTGCCCCTCAGCTCAGCTCTCTGAGGCCTCCCACCCCCCACCCAAAAAAACCCCTCCAAGTAAAGGCAGAACAGGTACCACTGAACAGGGGCTTGGCCGGATAGACCTTTGCCCCACTCACCCCTGCCCATGTATCCAGCCCCTGCATGTCTGTCTTCCATCTGTCCACGCTCAGGTACTGCATGTCTGTTCCTGACCCTCACATATCAGCCATCCTCTCCTGTCTGTGTCCACATCCAGGCCCCCCCCCCACATGTTCTTCCTCTTGCTCTCCCTTCTCTGGCCCCAGCCCCCACATGTCCTTGAACTGTGTACCAGCCCCCTCCTTCCATGGACACGTGGTCTTCTTCCTGCTTGCCTCCCTCCCTCCTTTCCCCAACTCTGTAGGCAAATATGCATTACATAAAAATTGGTTTACATAGAGGTGTGCAGAACAGTCCACTTATGAAAAGTGCGAACTGTCTGTACCCAATTTAGGAATATATTTCTTTAAGGTTCCTTCTTCTTCTGAAATTCTTTGATTTTCTGAATGGTTGTACTCATTTTGATGCAAAGATTACAAAGTAAACCATCAAATATTCCTGTAGGGGTCATTCACATAATATTTACCTTTTCACTATTCATCTAAATGAAGTTTTTAGGTTTCCCTAGGAGAGTGTCTGTTGGATACAGTAAGACTCTTCAAGTTAGATAGGAAGTGTCATGGTTGGACCTGAATGTTTCAGCTGCATCATCAAGATATTGTAAGACTCTGGAGTTTTCTCAGATGTTACTATGACCTAGACATAATTCATTCAGTAATCTGTTCTGAATTTCTAGGAAGATGTGAGATAATTGTGATAGCTTTAGAGCTTCTGATTTATTCAACTGTGCTTCAAGATAATCAGTAATTAAAATGATCTTGAACTTGATGTATATATTTAATAGTTAAAGCAACATGAAGCAACAGCCTAAATCAGTGATTTTTTACCATCATCATGTATTTTGATCTGGTTTCTTTGTAATAGAATATTCTACTTTGACTTTGATTTTTCAGCAGTATATCTTAACAACCAGGAACCATTCTGAGATGCTGTTTTGTTAGGTGCTGAGCTAATATTCACAAAGAAACCTGAAAATGGAACTCTCATAGTCTTTTTTCTAGACTCAGAGCCTAAACATATCTTCCCAAAACGTGAATATAGTTAAAAGCACTTTGCAGGGAACTTGCCTACTGTACAGAGCTTGTACTTACTGGAGCTTGGAGAACATGAAGACAAGCTATCACTATTCCTTACTGTATATGAGACTTTATCTTTAGAAGAATAGCTCTGTTACTGTAGAAGAGACATTCCAGTACAAGGACAATCAAGGCTATATATTGTTTATAAGATGAAGTTGGTCATGTGAAAAGACGGAAGATCAGGCCCTTTCCCGGCACCTCCACATTCACATGGCAGTCCTCCACTGTCATGTTAATCGTCTCTTCCACGGTGCCCTCTGGAATGACTGCTCCATAGGCAACAAACTTCCTTTCATCCTCTTTTCCTCTCCCACCCCTTCGTCTTCTAGTTTTCACTGAGCAAAGATGCCGTCTTGATGACGGCATCGCTGGCCTCCCTTTAGCTTTGGCTGCCCTTTCACTCATTTCCCCTTTGACTCACTGGTAGGCATAAGGGAGTTGGGAGGACTCCCTGCTTCTGCTTCCCATTGCCATTCTAGGTCTTTTCTCTCTACCACCATCACTCAGTAACCTCTCCTCCTTCGAGGTTCTTTCAATCCGTATATACCACCAAGTCAGAATTCTAGTAGCTGCCAACGTTCAGGATACCCCCTTTCTTCCTAAATGAGTTTAGTGCCTGACTCACGGTCTTCTCCTCAGCTCTTGCCCTTGTACTAGGGGACTTGCGCATATATAGTGACGTTCCCTCAAATGCCCCAACTTCACAGTTCCTTGACGTACTTGTATCCCATGGCCTACTTCTCCACCCTACCTCAGCCATACCAGAGGGTCAGACCCCTGATCTTGCCATCACCCACAGATGTCCCACTTCCCTGTTCATGAACTCAGACATTCCCTTATCTGATCACAGTCTATTTTCAATCCACTTCTCTTCTGCAACTCCAAATCCTGTTCTTTGGCCCCTTAGTTCTTTCCCTGGCCATCAGCTGTGTAGGAACTACTCTTCTCCCTTCCCCATCTTGACTCTTTAGTGAAGCAGTTTAGCTCTCCACTGTTCTCTTGCCCCCTTCACGAATCACCAGACTAGGCCTGCCACACTTCAGCTGTTTATCACCCCCACCATCCACTGCCTTCTTTTCCACACATGTGCTGCTGAACAAAGCTGGAGAAAATCATGAAAGCATGCTGACTGGGTCCACTACAGATTGATTACGTAACTTCATCTGGGCCCCTTACTACTGCAAGGCAATTGTTTTAAACTTCCCTCATTAACTTACCATCCCGTTCACCACAGTGGATTTTCCATACCTCTCCATCCCTCCTTAAGCCTCCCTCAATCCCCCCTCTCCTAAGCTTTTGGCCCAGAACACACGCATGTAATATAAAAGTATTAGATATTATGCAGTATGCATTATGTTATATACTCTAACACAATATATTATTTACTGTGCAGTTTTAAGCTACTACAGCATTTTTTAAAAAGCCTATTAAAACAGCACCGAGACTTTTGGGATACCCTGTGTAAGTCTCTGTGCTACTCCAGGGTTTGATAGATATATTCTGCTTTCATTGGATGAGTTAATAGGTGAGCTTTTTGCTTTAAGAAGAAAAGTAGATGATGATTATAACATGAGAATCAAGGTAGAAAATTAATATACACCTTAGAGGCTAATGACTTTTATTATATGTGGTTGTTATGTATCCAGTTCCATGTAATAATTAACTATTATAATATAGTCCTGCTGGATTTTACCCAGAGTAGCTAATTATAGGGTCTAACCTATTTGAAAACAGTGAACCAAAGGCTGTATAATTAGCATACAGTAAAGAAGACTTCCCTCACACTAGCAGAAAAGTATCTTTTTAACAAGTTTGGTTTTTGTTTTTTTAGTATAGAGTGCCATTCTTCCTTCAAAGGTGATCTTTTTTGGTGGTAAGCTTTGAACGTAGCTATCACAAATTGAATGAGCCACAGATAGCTACTTCCCTGTAGGAATAATTTTCCACCCACAAATATTTTTCAGAATTTTAAGGTGTAGTTTAGGACCAAAGAAGATAATTTTCCAAGTGATGCCCTTAGGCCCTGGAGGAATTAATGAATGAGCAGTTTACTCCTACAGAATTTTTCTTTCACTATCTGATAGTCTTTAGAGTTTTCCTGATCCCACATCTGAGAAAAATGTCATATGACCCATACATCCTGAAAAATGATGAACAATTTTGTTTTCTCAGAAGGGAGGCTATTCCTGAAAATGAGTCAGCAACATAATGGTCGGCTGTTTGGTTGTTTGCTTTTCAAAAGCACGGATAGAACTATAGCAAACAAGAAGCTTGTAAGGTGCTCCTCCCACTCTAGTGAGCATTAGTCGGAGTTTTGTTAGGGCTCTGCATCCAGGATTTGGCCCTACAATTAAACAGTTTGAAGATTTGTTGAAGATAAAGAGTCCCACACAGTGGAACATCAGCCGCGTGAAACCCCAAGAATCCAGTCGTCCTCTATCGCTGCATTTTGTATATATAGTTAAGAATTTTGGCCTTTTAAAAGTGCCTTTTAAAAAACATTTACTATTTTGAATGAAAATATTTTAACATGTTTTATACACACCCCTTACCCTTTGAACAGAATGTACTTAACAGAATTGAGCCTTTTTTGATTATTCAAAGTTATCAACAAGTATTTCTTCAGTGCCTACTGTGTGCCTTTGCAATAAGCTTAGATGAGACAATAAATACACATAAAAATACACACAGCGCAAATATAAATTTGTGAAATACAAGGTAACCTAGGATGGAGGTGTTCCTGTGCTTTTCATCATCTTTCAGCATTCTCCTCTGCTTTCTAAGGTTGCCTTATACTTATGATTGCCATTAGCATTGTATGTACCTGAAACAGAGCTTCAAATATAAATACATTCATTTCAGTTTTCTGCTTCTGTAACCTCCTTGAGGGCAGTGATTGTTTTATTCTTGACATCTGAATGC